GTTTAGGGTTTGGGGTTTAGTGTTGAGGGGTTTAGGGTTGAGGGGGTTAGGGCTTAGGGGTTTAGGGTTTAGGGGTTTAGGGGTTTAGGGTTTGGGGGTTTAGGGTGTAGGGACAAGTAGTAGAGCTCTGGGGTTCTGGAGCTTTAAGCGTTAATTAAGAGTTTGGGTTTTAGGCTTTCGGGTTACGTAAGCTTTGGGGTTTTCGTTTTAGTGCCTTGGGTTTCAAGGTTTAGGATTCGTTAAACGTAGGCCATAGGGGTTGTACTCGGTTTGGCTGCGGGTTGTATACAGGTCGTTTACAGCCGGACGAAAGGCTTTGCAAAGACTGCTGTTCGCTTGAAATGGGAGTTTCCGAAAGAAGGCACCCTAATATAGTACCCTAAATAGTAGGATCCTTATTATAAGGACCCAAAATAAGGCACCCCCAATTTTCGGAAACTCCCAAATATGTTAAACAGGGTTCAAGGACTGATGGGCAGTTCGGTGTAGAGTTATCAGTGCCACGTTGCGTTGTAAGTAGTTTGCTACTTTTGCCTTGTATTACTCTCGAATTTCCGTTGGTGCCACCTTAGGCTTCGAAGCCAACAGGCATTACCCCAGCTAGTCCAGCCTCCAATTCACCTGCGGCTGGTACCGGCGAAGCCTGGCATTGGGGGTGTAGGACTTAGGGGGCCAGCGTCCCGCGGTTTGCCTAAAGATTCTATACATACCTGCATTACGGTCCTCAGTCCTCTCTATTCCTTATTTTCGACTTGTAACACCTTCCAACTTGGGTCATAATCACGCCTACCATAAGTCCCCTACTTAGTTTTCGGAAAGTTTCACACAACATGCCCTACTTTTCTGTTCGACAACTCTTGCAAACAGCCCGAAGGCCCGAAAGCAATCACAAGCAATCTTGGATCACCCATGCGTGGGGATGTTGTTCTGCTGAGGCCGGAGCGACTGCGGCTCAAACAGAAAGCCCATTCAAGCTTTGATTATGGTTTCTTGTAGATTTTCGCAACGTTGGAAAGGTGCTAGGTGGTGTCATGTGAGTTTTCTTGATACGGGTGTTGTGAGGTTGTACACACAGAAGGACCACCGAAGGGGTAGGGCACTCCCGATGTAAGGTCGAAGATGCACGGTCGCAGGAAGAACCCCCAAGCGCTGGGACTGGTTTGCCCGACTCAAGGACAATAAACAGCTTAGGGTTTTAGAGTTTAGGGCTTGGAATTCAAGCTTAGAGCCCATGAATCTTGAACTCTAAAGTCCCCTTGCCCGAAGCCCTAAAACCCTGAGCCACCCTCCCGTGGCCCAGACAATTACGTTCGATTGACCCTTCTTCCAAGAGACTCCAATGCTCAAATGGGAACCCTCGTGAGCACACCCGTCCCAAATCCGACAATCACGGATCTCGAAAACAGACTAAACCCTCTCCACAAGTGCGAAAAAGACTGTTGAAGGTGAACCCACGTCCCGACCAGCTCAAAGGCCCTTCAAACGGTGCCAGGCTCCACGATTCCGAAGGCGTCGGGTTCTGTCCGGCGGTGCTTTTATGAGGCGGGTCGCAAATCGATGTCCGAAACTTAAGTCTTCGGGGTTTTGGTGTCTATGATCTAGCTTTGAAACCTCAGGGCTTTGAGGGGATTTGAGGCTAAGGGTTTTGGGAGGTGGGGGTTTCGGAATTTGGCAGTTTCATGTCGAGTTGGACATGTTCTGTTGATGAGTGTTCTACAAAAGAGCCTGTCCTATACCCTACACCCCGATGAACTTTAGCCCGAAACCCAAGCCCTGAACCCTAAACTTCGAACCGAAACCCTAAACACTGGAGCTCGGGGATTGTCCTGCTTGTTTCGGCTCAGGTTGCTCATGTCGCTTGACTTGCGGTCTGGTAGCAAAAACGACAGCAACTCCGTGATGAACGGCTGAACCCCAAAAACGCACCTAGTGAACCCCAAAGCCTGTGCCCACCGGCTTTAACATGAAAACAATATGACTATCGTCTTACTCTATCGAGGACCCTTCGAACTAAGTGGGCGCGACAACTCTAACCCCAATTGTTCTTGAATTGGGCTTTCTGAAGCTAGGTCTGCTCCTTAGGTGCTAGAAGACCGAGGTCCAAAAAAAGCCAGGTGCTTTCTAAGAGCCTGAACCTGATAGGAACCTTGGAAAACCCAGGAAAACACCTTCTATAGGCCGTAGGGTAGATCCAGCATTATTGCGATTATCACTACTCTTACTACTATTACCATCATTACGTAATTACTATTATTGTTTCTATTATTACAAATTTACTATTAGAACGAGTGTTCAACCCACTTGCCAGTACACGACGGGTGAGTTGGATCCCAATACCAGAGCGATGAAACAAATGGTGTCTCATCGTCACGGGCCTACATCAACACACAACCAGCCCAAGCCAATTTCGATCAAACCACCACAGATCTTATGCACTAAACCAACAAGCAGAACCCCAGCTGTCCTGGTGGCTGCATCGCGGCATCCGGCAGAGGACCGACGATGGCCTGCCCGACTTCAACTGCTGGGGGTTCTCTAAATGGGTTTGGGATTGTGGTCACCCGATTCAACTCCCACAACGCCGAACCCTCTTTGAACCTTAAGCTCCAACATGTGAAAACTAGAGCTTAAGCACCGTTAACTCTTAAACCCGATGCCGGAACTTTGAACCGGAGGACATAGCCTTTTCGATCCAATCCGTGTCAAGGAAGCTCCCAACGCAAACCCACAGGCTGAAACACCCCCTACCCAGCCGTAAGCCCTATACCAACCCTCTCCGATTCTAAGGCTCATTCTCTTTAGTAGGTATCCTTATAGAGACCTGACAGAACCCTCAGACAATCCCTATCGTACCCTTATCATAGAAACCTCGCCTTTTGGTACATACACATATAGAACTTGCACCATGTCCTTTTGGAACCACTGTAGAACCCTAGGCCCTGAGCCAAGCCTCCTCCTCGTCGTCCCCCGAATTCATGGAAGTCGGGGACGGCCTGTGGGTACATTATTGGCTTACTATAAGGGTACTTCAAGGGTTCCTTTAAAGAGCTCTATAAGGGTTTAGAGTTACCGAAAATTAGTGGTACCTGATTTGTGGGTCGTTATAATAAGGGTCCTACTATACTAGGGTCCCCTATTTTCGGAAACTTCCATGTAGCTAAGAGCCAGGTCGAAGCTACCCTATGCAGGGCTTCAGGGTTTTGGTGTTTCGGGTGCAGGGTGAAGGTTTAGGGTCCCCAAAACCACACCTAAACATCGGTTTAGGAATGTCGGTTCAGAGTTTAAGGCATGACCTATTCCATGGTTTGAGGGTTTCTTGGGTTTCGGCCGAGGAAGCTGAAAGATCATGACCCCCACTGAAGAGCTTTTACCTGGATGTTCAGGGTCCAGATGGCTAACAGTACTCTGACCTGCAATCGCAGAACCCAACCTGAGATGATTGCCGGTGGGGTGCTTGGGTATGGTACTCAAACACAGAAGGACTTGCCTAGTCTAGTTCGCTGATCTCCATGAAGTGTTGACTCAGGAAAGAACCTCCATCTCACCGGCTCAGGTCGCATGGTGTTCGTCAGGACCAGGGGGTGCTCCTCAAGTTGCTCCTCTGAGGCATCCTTTCCGTGGGAGATCTTGGCTGGAAAAGCAGGGAACACGACTGAGCCTGTAGAGTCAGGCGCCATTGAGTCCCTGCACCGTGGCATACTTCCTCTTCACCACTTGCAGGAACCTTGCCCAGCGCTCTCTCTCCTGCCACTTCGTAGGGGTTGGTAAGATCGCTGCCAAAGCAAGAGATGCCATCTCGAGATTGCAACTGGCTCCGACGAGCTCCAGGCTTGGGAGTGGGGTTTGGCTTTTCGGCCTTGAGGGTAGAAAGCAGAAGGGAACCCTAAGGAAAACCAATTCTAGTCCTTCCAACTCCCAGATTTCGGCTCAGGGTTTGGGGAATGTTGGCTGGGATTGGGGGATTGGGGGCCAAGTTTTGGGTTCAGGGACTCTGAGCTTAGGTGAACGAAAGCTGCATGGTTCATGCTGCCTTGGGAACTATGTTAGGGTGAGGCTTGCGGACTTATAGGTGCCTTCATACTTAAAACGGTGAGGGTGTTGCTGTGGGTCATGGTATAATTGTTGATGGAGCGCAAGAGGATACTATCCGTAAGAGGAGACGACTCGTAGATTTCAAACCCCTAAATAACCCTCAACCCCGAACTGTTACTGACAGACCCCTATATAACCCGGGGGCTTTTGGGGTGTCTAGGTTGTCCCGACTCACAGATTTGCCAAAGTCACCTTGCTGTCGGCACCGGCAAGTCAACAGGAGAGGTCCTGAGCACACTCTAGGGCTTAGGGCTTTGAGTGCTGCTAGGGATTTCAGAATATTTAGGGTTTAGGGGGCTTCTCTTCAGCTCCGACACACTTAAAGGCATGGTTGTGCGGGGGGGGGGGGGGGGCCTGCCTGTGGCAACACTTTTGGGGTTCAGGCCATGGTCTACGTGCTCTGCCCCGCATCATACGTTTCAGCCCAGGTTTGAGCTCGGAAATGGGGGTTTAGGGTTTAGAGTTCCGGGGTTTAGGGTTTGAGGTTCAGGGTGAGGCTTTAGGGTTTAGGAGCTAGGGTCTAGGGTTTAGCCTCCCGCCCAAGCGTCTTGCCGCACTTGCACAGGTGCTTGATGTCCTGCGTTTTCCAGCAGATTCGGCCTGTCTACACTGGAATTCGCGCGCGCTCTCTCAGCATTTTCGGCTCCTGCATGCTCGGTCCACCCACTTCGTGCGTCCGTGCACAGTACTGAAGCGCCCAGCTGCAGGGCGTGCGACACCGCTGCGGCGGCCGGCTTGTCACCCTGCCAAGGCCGCATCGCAGCCCGCCATGTTAACGTCCACCCATACCCCATCCGATGTCGCAGAGCATGCATGGGCCAACCATGTTAACGTCCACTCAGACCCCATCCGATGCCGCGGAGCATCCATGGGCCAATCATGTTAACGTCCACTCAGACCCCATCAAATCACACGCGACATCCATGAGCCAGCCATGTTAACGTCCACTCAGACCCCAATCCGATGTCGCAGAGCATCCATGGGCCAGCCACGTTAAGGGCAGCCATGTCAACATCCACGCAGACCCCATCCGAGTACGCGGAGCATTCATGGGCCAACCATGTTAGCGTCCACTCAGAACCCGTCCAATTACGCAGAGCTTTCGGCCCGTAAACGCCGACCTGAAGCCATCCAGCTCCCTCAACTCCGGCACTCTACACACCCTTGCATCTTGCCCTTCCAGGGTTTATGTTGGGATGGATTTTATGTTAAAAAAACATCCTAACATAGAGGGGTTTCTCATCATAGGGAAGTCCGTTTCGTCCTGTATTTTACACTAGTTTCTGCTTTTGCGAAGACAAGCCAATACATAGTCTGCGGCGAGACGTCCGGGCGCAGCGTTTAGGGTTTCGGATCTAGAGGGTGGGTGTCCAGGTTCTGGGATCCCGAAACCCCCACACATGAAGGAGCTTACAGGGTTAAGGGATGCAGTGCCTCGAAGGTTAACAAAATCCTGATCCACGCACGCTTGCCAACGCCATTTAACAAAGTGCTCAAACTTTTCGCTCACCGAGACGACTCCAAGAATCGAACAAATTCAGCCATTGAGGAATACAGGATCGACACCAAACATCAATGGTGGGGTTAGGCTTTTGCCCGCGGACTGGTTGGATTGGAGTCCATGAGCGAACAGCCTCGAACCTAAAACCTCCCTAACACTGTAGACTGTGGAACCCGGAACTCCTGCACTGCACTGAACATAAACGCTAAACACCTACAACCCCAAAGCCCAAATCCTAAACCCACATAAGCTCTAAACGCGGGACCTGGCCCTAAACCCTCCCCCCAGCCCTGGAAAAGCTCACAGTATGCACTTTGCCTCCAAATTCGTTTCTTGGAACCCTTTCCTTCTAGAAACAAAGCGCATGCTCCATAGGTGCTCGGCAAGTAGGTTATGAGGCCTTGATGAGAGGGTATAGTGCCCCTGAGCCCGAAGCCCTAAACCCCCCCTAAGCCTACCAACATAGTGGAATCTTGGGGAGGGTCTGATTTCTGGGCTCCAGACTGCGCGACAGACGTGACGGGTCGAGAGTGAGTCAGAGTTCTCTCGATGCTGCTGGTCTGGGCCTTGTCCAGTACTTTCGGGGGCTTAGGGTTGACGGTTCTGGGTTTAGAGTTGCTTATATGGCGCTACAGGATCTTATTGATCTTGGTAGGGTGTTTAGGGGCATTCTAGGGTTAAGAGTTGAGGGTAGCCTAGCCCTAAACTATAAGCACCTTCTCGGGCCCTTGGAAAAACCGCTAATAAACCCCTTGTAGAACTTGTTGCCCTTAGTGGTTGGGGGAACTCCGGGTTGGATCAAAGACCTTTTATTGAAAACCCAGAAAACCCCTGAATCCCAAACCGTGAGGGTGGGGGGGGTAATGGGGGATGGTGGCTTTGGGGGTTCAAGCTCAGGATCGAGCTGTTGGGGTGTAGGTGGGGCCCGGGTTTTGAGTGGAAGCTTCAGGGTTTTCGGGTGTTTGGGACTTGGGTTTCAAGGTTTCGGGTCTGAGGCTTAGGGATTTAGGGTTTAGGCCCTTCGGATGTCGACTTTCAGTTTAGAGCTTCAAGCTGCTTCAAGGTTTCACGGGCCAGGGTTTGCAGCCTCAGGATTTAGGGTCGCTAGGAAGGCACAAGGGCTTTGGGATGTTGGGGGTCGTCTACAGGGTTTAGGAGCTAGAAGGACGCAATGACCTGACCGCCCCGTACTATGCTGATGCCGCGCTGCACCTTCCAGTCTTGCATCAAGCATGAGCCATCTTGCATAGTTTGATGTAGACCCCAGTTCAAGAACACCCCTAAAGGGTCGTGACTTTCGGACCAAGCAGGAGACTGAGAGAGAGAGAGAGAGAGAGATGTTTCAAAACCGAACCAAAGTCAAATCGCAGACCCCAGAGCCCGAATCCCTAAGTGCAATGCCCAAAATGCAAGACTGTGCTATGCATGGGATGCCACCAAGGTCGCGACCGCCGTGACCATGGGTGCTGTCACCGTCTCACCTCGTGCACAGGACCAGGCAAGGAAGGTAGCAAATTGATCCTCAACAATAATAGGGGCATCAGTGGTTGGATCCTAACCCCCCTCCCAAACACACACACACACACACACACACACATGCACACGCACACACACACACACACACACACACACACACACACCCTAAACCCTGAACCGAAACACCAATTTTACACCATGCATTTCAGACATGAACCCTGACACCAAAAAACCCACCTGAAGTTTCATAGCGAGGACTTGGTAGCCAGGGTATGAGTAGTCATTGAAATAGGACACACTCACATCTTCTTCGAAAACTCTGCATTTTATCAAGACCTGCGTCTCAGGGGACGGTCAAGGTTGATAGCTTCCTTAGGTTCAGAAGGGTTCCGAAGCCCAGATTCTACTTCCGACTGTTCTTACAAAGCTAAGGCTTCATGATGCCCTGATGTGTCAAGCAAAGTCTTGCGATGGTACAGGGTTGGAGGATCATAAGGCCCGGGATTCGGCATCGAGGGGTTTTAAATTGCCGGTTAGATGGTAGTTTACACGGATGAAATTGGGGTCACTGCCCCCCACCTTCGGTTCCATCTATGGTATGAGTCCCAACCCTAGGCTCAGATCTACCAGGGCATTACCAAAAGAGCAGAGTCTGATAGGTTGAGGCAATTAGAGCCTATACCCTAACCCCTTACACCTTCGACCCTAACCCAGAAAGCCTGATACGAAATACCCTTTAAGCCTTTCCCCTAACCCAAGACCCATACCTTACACCTCAGACCTTAAGCCTGAACGTGCGTGTGCCTTCTTCTTCCTCCTCGCAGGGTGTGGTCGGTGATGGAACATCCGTCGGCACGGGCATCTCTGTAGGGGAGCGTTGTTGTCCTCAAAAAAGCGATAGGGCTGAGGGTTCATGTAGGGCCATACTAGTTAGAGTAACTTTGAGGAAAAAATGCACTGCGCTACAAGGGTCTCTGAGAGGAGACAGCTACTAATTATTCAAAACCTTGTAGCAGGCCTTTTGAGGCTTAGGGTTGGTTCCTCGATCCAGAACAAACTTTCCTATTTACATATTGGTCGCACTATGCGTGTATGCATGCATGCATGCATGTATGTATCCATACAGATCCAACTACATAGAACCATACATACCCCCAAAGCTTCGATGTGACCTCCTCAGCTACTGCCACCTTTGAGAGCTGAGAGTTTGGAGTTTGATGGCTCGGGGGGTTGAGGTTGCAGGGAATGTCACTCCCCGTCCCTTAAGATCACAGTATGGATCCTAAACTTGTTCACATTCCTTCCCTGGTCGAAGCTAAAGGGGTTTCACAACCACTTGGATGCTAACTCAAGGAAAGGTATTGGATGTGGCAGTAGTAGGGGCTGAAGGGAATGCGGGTCTCCTTAGCTTTCTGATGCTTCAGGTCCGTGTGAACAACTGCCTTAGGTGGTGGTCCCTTGCCTTACATGGTATAGACCTGGAATCGGTAAAGGGCCCCAACGCCTCCGAACAGACATACAGGAACTAGTACCAAAAAGCAATGCGCCTGTGTAAGGACCCTGTCAAGCCACAAGATCGTACTAGACTACACTTATAGTCAATAGTAAGGTTCTATGGTATAGGGGCCTTAAGAACCCTAAACCCTAAACACTGAACCCTGAACCCTATACTACTTTTCAGCCCAGAGCCCCCACCACCAAAGGAAAACCCTACCGAGAAAAGGTGCCCAGCCTGAAGCCATAGCTGAGGAGCCGAATGCCTTGAAGACACTGGTTTAGGGTTTAGGGGTTTAGGGGTTTAGGGGTTTAGGGGTTTAGGGGTTTAGGGGTTTAGGGTTTAGGGGTTTAGGGGTTTAGGGTTTAGGGTTTAGGGGTTTGGGGGTTTAGGGTGTAGGGGTTTAGATTTCGTATAGCATTCTCATGACGAGGCAGGTGCAGATGAACCAACGAATCAATAGCTCAAAAAACGTGTATTGAAGATAAATGACACACAAGCATGCGGATATATCGATAAACTACGTGTCAAAAGCTTTTGCTGTTCCTGTCGTAAAGCAAATGGAACTTTGTGCTAGACGTGGCTTCCAGCTAGATAGGTTTGGCGTGACGGCGTACATGTGGAGTTGACGAACTAGTGCATGCTGAGGACTTGCTGGGCTTCAAATCCGAGTTGGTCAAACGTTTAGGGTTTGCGGTTGCCTAAACCTAGATCAGCCAACAACCTGCTTATTTAGAGAGATAGTGTGCTTTACAGGGCAGTAAGAGCATTCTTTTCATTACGGGCTTCAATATGACTTTCTAAGGCATGTCACAATGGAAATATTCTTTGGCACTTGGGCGCTATGGCCAACCCTCAACCCCGGGCAATAAACAACATAAAACACGTGTAAGGCCTAAACTATCAGCATCACATGACCCGAAATCCGACACCCCGAAGCTAGGAACCTGAAAGTTTACATGTCGGGTTCATAGAAACCCCAACTCGTGCACCTGAAAGCAACATTGGAAATCCAAAGCGCGAGACGTTTGCAGAAGCCTGAAACCCGAACCCTCAATCCATGTGATACCCAAACCCTGAACTCCAAGCCGCGCGAACAAGTCTCAATGCCATAACCCCAAACCCTGCATCCCCAAACACTGAACCCTTGACCCCGATCCCTTAAGCACCCGAAAGCTCAATTTAGTGAAGACTTTTGTGAGTTTAAACCCTCAACCTCGAACCCAAGACACTAGCCACACTCTCTCTCTCTCTCTCTCTCTCTCTCTCTCTCTCTCTCTCTCTCTCTCTCTCTCTCCCCAAACGACCACGTCTACATATTGAATCAGGCCACGGAAGAGCCGAGCATGCCGGACTCTACTGCCTGGGCTTCCAGGGGTGTTTGGCATCGAGGTGAAGGCTTTCGGGTTTGGGGCTTAGGGTTGTGCACTATGGGGTTTGCTAGAAGGATAAGGGAGTTCTACATTATGGTAAAATTCTTGTAGAGGTCCTACGAGGCATTAAGAAGGCTTCTGAGAGTCTTATACGGGTCTTTACAGGCTAATAGGGACTCAGCGACTTTCTAAGTCCAGCGATCCTCCGAGCATGTGGCTTAGGGTTTGGCTTTTCATCAGCTTCTTACAGGTAGGGCTTGGCATTAGGGTCTTGAGGTGAGGCTAGGGTTTAAGAGCATGGACCCATGGCACTCAGGGATACAAGATGTTCATGACTGCTTCTAAAGTTCTAAAGTTTGCTGAGTTTATGTTAAGATGATGTTGTCTTGCTTTTGCTTTGTACGTTTGTGCAATAGCTCTAACCGGACCGTTCGGGCAGCGCAAGCAAGCCTCAGGGTTCCGGGAGTGCGGGTTTGGGGGTTCGGGTGTGTCATGTAGGGTGCTCCTCGGTAGGGTACTCGGTAAATGCCCTTGACTATGATTTTTCGGCTTAGATCCCCAAGAACTCCAGTGAACACAAGGACAACTGTTTTTCGTTTAGAATACATGATCATGCTTTGAGACTAATGCAAATTGAAGACACTCCCCAAGGTGTAAACTTGGGTACTGTGGAACTGAAAAAACCCATAACCGTGCCATAACCCAAGCCCTGACCCCGCTGCCCAACCGGCAAAACCCATCATACCCCCCCCCCCCCCCCCGCGCGAAAAAGCTAAGACAACACATAGATCCAACGAACGCATTGTCATGACTAGCTTCCGCCTAAACCTCGACCCTAAACGTCCCTAATCCCTCAAAGGCGCCGGCTGCTATAGCTGTAATACAGGGGCCTTCATAACTAAAATAAGGCTTTGGGCGTAGATTATACTATAACTATAACAAGGAGCCCCCGGACTAGTACCGGTAACTATCTTTAACGCCCCAATAGTATGTTTCCGAGCTTTTCAGCGGAGTGTTGGACATCACGAACGATTCTCAATGTACACATCGACGTACGTACGACAACCCTAAACCCTTGATCCTAAACCCATTTTTCAACCACGCAATGTTCTGTGTGGGCCCAGTAAGATGCAGACAACAACTGGCGCGGACACCCTTGGCCTGCGCGCCTGCGACAGTTCACGTGTGGGCACGGGATTTCCGCGGTTACCCCAAACCCTAGCTTGACTAGCTTGAAGCTTCAGATTCAATGCGAGATTCCTTCATCTAGGCGTAGGGCGTTGGGAATAAGGTCCAAGGTTTCGGGCTTCGGGCCTGACGGTTCAGGGTGCATAGTTTAGAGGTTTGAGGTTTAGGATTCAGGGTTTAGACTTATCGCGGCCGCTTTGGAGCGTAATTAGTCTGCAGGTTCTAAACGCGATAAAGGCTCTACAACTGGGCGTGAAATCCTAAAACTCGATCTTAAATAACTGGAAGAACTTATGTTCGGTAGGGTCTTGAAGGACTTTAGGCTTTAGGACTTCGTGGTTCTTCGGAGCTTATATAGAGTTTTGATCCTGAACCCGAGTTTGAGGCATTCGCATGTACCGTAACCCGCCTCAACCTTCTACTACCATTCATATCTCAGTATCAGACTACAAAATAGCTGATTGTGTATGCCATCCCCCTCCAAAACAGCAGGTGCTACCTTGGGTGTCCACAGTACTTCATTGAGCTGGGGTAAGGGTTTAGGCTAGGGCTTAATCGAGGTTAGGGCTTAGGGTTTAGAAGTTTTCTTCCCCAAGGTCTCCCTCTTCATCCCAGGGTCTGAAGCAGCCCCCTAAGCCCTAAATTACTCAACCCTAGTTTAGTTGCTTTGGGCTGTCTCGGGATCTCAGAAAGTTCTGTGTAGCACACTACCAAAACACGGGCTTATGACCCCTTGTTTATCAGAAAGGTACGCCGTGGCTGCTCCAGAAATGTAGGGTGGAGCCCTGGGAGAATATTGGAGTCGACGGTGTGAAATACAGAACTTAAACAGAAGTTGGTGTCCACACCCAGTCTCAATACTTTTTGTCGAGGGGCCAACTTACACCCTAATGAGGGCTTCGACATGCGTTGACAAAGTTCGTTGAGGAACCCACAACCTTAAACTCAATCAACAATTTCTGAACCCCTACCCCAAGTTTATTTGTTCCATCCGGCGAGCTTGAAGAACTTGTAAGGGGCCCATAAGGCTTTATAGGACCCCCCCAGGCGCGCCGACAGCTCTGTGGGCGACGGCCGCTCCGTTGGTACTGGCAGCTCGCTCGGCGACTGTGTTGCCGCCTTAGATCTTTGGGATTTGAGGCTTAGGGTGTGGGGCTTTGGGTTTAGGGTTTAGGGCTCTGAGGACAGCAACAGAGAGCAACGAAAGTACGGCTGTCCAAATTCAGGTTTTAGGCCAGAGTTTAGGGTTCAAGGTTTAAGGCTACATGTGTACAATGATTCTCTAATCTCGGGAACATCTCATGGTTTCTTTTCAATGGGTGGTAGTTCAAGATCCGGGATCTGGAAAAGAAGATCAGACATGTATGGGGTAGGGGCTATGTGTCTTATTTTTGGTGATTTCCAGGCCCTAAGCCTTGCGCACCGGACACTAGAGTGTAATAGAACATTGTCTTGGCGGTGTATATCTAAGCTACAGGTTAAAGCATTTGACTGAGTACCTAGACTCCGATGGGCTCGAGCCCGAGCAAGACATGAAAGGTAGCCAACGAATCGGGAGATGGGATATGCGGAAATGTGAACTTAAAGGAAGTGTTAAGACATGAAAGGTACCCAACGCTAAGTGCTGGCATTTCTTATCCTGCAGATGCACTGGAGATAGACAGATAGATACATAGCTAGCTAGATAGATAGATCGACCGACAGATGGATCACGAAGAAGCTCATTCACACGTGTCCTCAAAGCTGTAGACTCTTTGTGGTTCGAAGACTCCAAGCCACAAAGCTGGCTGAGGGCTTTGCGGAAGAGGACATGCCGGCCATCGACGAGTACACCTGACAAAAGCGATTGGAAGTTCTGCGCCCTGAACCCCGAAGTCAGGATTTAGATCCCTGCGCAGTTTCTAGAAGGGCTTAGTGTTTAGGGTTTACGGAGTTAGGGTTTAAGGGGATTCTAGATGCCAACATGAACACCGAAAGCATCATCTCTTGAAGGCTGTAAGTGGCCAGGCCTCAAGAACTCATTTTCTATCTGGTTTTCTCGGGGGTGTCGAGGGCATGCGGAGTTTCGAACTCACACCTATCCAAAATCTGCAAAGCCGTGTGCACGCCTCGTAAGGACCCGAGATATAAGATCAAGGAGTCGAGGCAAGAACTCTAGCATGGAGAAGGATGGCAGGGATTTGTTCCAACATACCGGAAACTCGGATACCAGACTCCGAAACCCCAAACCCAAAACTCCAGGCCCTAAAGGCCGTAGAGCCAAAGTCCAAAGATCCTAAGCCCCCATACCCAAAACTCGCCAGCTCTCGCCGGCCACTTCAAACACATGGTTCTGAGTTTAGCCTAGTGAACTGAACGCCAGACAACATGTATAGACAAATATACCATCTCTTGTTGCATTTTGGGGAACCCTACACCCTTCTGTGGGCTTTAATGGGCGCTGGAACCCCCACTCCACCCAACCTGAGGGAAACCCATCGCCGCGGGGCTCCTTGCTGGCACCTTGGACTAGATCAGGCGAGTATAAGGGCATTAATGCTTCGAATAGGGTTTTGGGGTGTATTCAATTCTATTATGAACACTGCGGAGCGTAACTTCGGGCTTCGGTGTTTCTGAGGGGAACTCTCAGGTTTAGGGGGTTTTGGGGTTTGGGATGCCACACACTAACCCTAAACCCCTGAACCCCTTCAGCGAAATTCCAATCACCAGTCCCTCTCTCCCGCAGGACAAAGCCACATGCCGAAAGATGAAACATGAACATCTAGATGTCTACTTCCCCCATACCCCTGAACCATGAAACCTCAGATCCAACGAAACCTAAAGGCCCCGATTCCTAACCCTGAACGTTCAGTTCTATATAAAATTTGACAACTCCAAAACCACACACCCTCAACCCTAGCCTTAAACTCTAAACCCCAAGCCAGAAGCCCTTCGCCCGAAACTCTAAACCCTGTATTATATGGCCCATACATGCTAAATCCGACAAGCCTGGCAATGCCGCAAACTCTGCCACCCGACCTCTGGGAGGGCGCCCAGTGATGCTGGCGATGGCATCTCCGTTGGCACAGGCACCACCATCTCCTGGCCGTATGTGCTTTACGCATTTCGGTTTAGGGTTTAAGGCCTTGGGTCGAGAGGTCTTGGATTTCAGGTTTAGGCAAGCTTAGGTTTTGAGGGGTTGGGTACTTGAGCCCATCAAAAGCACCCAAACATATCCTGTTGAAGGCTATATGCCGACATCCATGCACCCGCCTAAGTTGGTGTCTTAAGGCTTACGGCTTAGATCCCGAAGTCCTTTATTAAATCTTACGGAGACCCAGAAGTTTGTCTTTTTTCGGGTTAAATAGGGCTTCGGATCCTGAACCCAAGCCAAACCCGAGACCCTGTGCAACACGTGTCAGCGCAACCGTGGGAGAGCGCAGTTTCCGCACCGACCTGCGGAGGGAAAACGGCAGCCTACTTACTTCAAGGATCAACAGACTCATAGTATGTTGGGTTAAATTAGATACGAGTTTTCTCGATGTTTTCTGCATTTATCAAGCCTTGAAGAGGGGAATTTCCGGGTCAGGGGGCTTGGCAAGCAGGGTTCCAAGTGACGTAGCTATAGAAATATGACTGAGTTCTCATAACTTACTCAAGTAAGGTTCCTGCAACATGCTTACTAAGTCGCCTGAGACTCCAAATAGGACCCTTCGGACCCTGGGCAGGGAGCTGTAGCCCGTGCCTCTACCACAAGTTTTTTTCTTGTCCGGTTTCTTCTTCTGCTTCGCCCCGACTCGACGATGTCTTCTGCTTTCGCTTTCTCCTCCGCGTCCTCCACCTTGTTTCCCGACTTCCACCTCCGGTCGATGTCTCTTTTTCGGAGGCACCAGCGGTCCACTCCTGGCAGCGACCCGAACGCAAGCTTCTTCTTGCAAGAGCTCCAAACCTGTCTGCTTTCGCAGCTCTTGCCACAGTGTCGAATGCATTGTGGGCACGACATGTGTTGAGTTTGGTAAAGTCGTCTTCAACGTCTTCCCCACAAGTCGCCTCCTGCCGTTTTGCCCTGCTGAAATCAATACATGCTGCTTCCACAGCGTATTGCCCCGTGAGTTGTGTGCTGTACCTAGTGCGCTCACAATCATTGGCAGGCAAGCATGTCGGAGCCGCACAGACCTCGGGCTGCAGGCTGTTAATTGTTTGCGCCTGTCACCCCACGGCAGTTCTCGGTCTGCATGGGATGCTTTTAAGCGTGTGGCCTTATGTCTTCGAAAAGAGCACCCGGCCTGTGTCATGGGAGTCGATTCACTCCTGACATTCAGCATCACTTCGATATTTGACGGTGGCACAGACTTCAGCCTCAGGCGCTTGCGAGCACGACTCGCAATCCTGCTAGTGAAGGCTTGCTCTTGCTGAAAGCTCCACTCTCTGTTCGCATGCTTGCAAGGCTCCTAAAGCTTGCAGAAATAATCGAGCCTGCTGCCTCTTCCCACGCTCGTCGAGCTTGCCAATGCGTCACCCTCATCCCTCCATCTCCTGAAATGTCCGTCTCCGTTTCCCCTTGCTTCTGCGCTTGCAGCTCTCCTTGCGCCAATTCCAGGCCATATGTGAGCTGTTGCTCGAAGGTCCTTGGACGCTTCGGCAGAGGAGCCCTCCCGTACAGGATGTGGGCTTGAATCGGACCAATGAGTCCTCCACCAGGAAGCCCAGTACCCCTCAATCAAGTATTGGCTACTTTCAAGGGCTTGGGGTTTAGAGTTTAGGGTCGGCTTTTGAAGTTTCTGAAAAGCAGGAAGCCTCCAAGAGAGGCAAGATTTCACGCTTGCAATAGAATTCGACATGCAGAACTGCATGGCCTTTAGGGTTTGGATTTAGGGCTCAAGGCCCACAGGTTGAGACTTTCGAGTTTGTGGCTCCAGCTCTTCGGGGCAAGTGTCGCAGAATGACGTTTGGTGTCTCGGGCTTAATTGATCCTGAAACCCCCAAACCAAACTGCAAGACTTAGAAGTCCATTATTGAAAAACTTCGACACCACCCCCTCGCGAAAGGGTACAGGCTTTTACCAGCCCCGTACCGGGTCTTCTCTCCTGTCGTCCTACTCTATGTGGCTCTAATGGTTTGTGGGAAAATACACAAGCTATTTCTGTACTCTTTGTCCAGAAGGTTAGATAGGAGTCTTGGACCCGCAAGGGTTAGACACTCGCTGATGTTAAAGTTAGTTCTCCATCCAAGGGGGGCAATATAGGGGCCTGAGCACTTATCACAGGGTTTTCGGGTATAGCAAACCATAGAAGTGTAGTCGAATCATCCGATTTACTTAGTAGTTAGGATGCACCTTCAGCTCTAACAAAGCCCTAAGCCCTGAACAGCGAACCTAGATCCCCAGATCCAGAGACGAAGAAACACTGGAGCCTCGAGCCCGAATCCCCACAAAATCGGAATCCCCTTTGAACACGTTGATAAACAAAACACACCAACTCCGAAGAAGGAACCCAGTAACTAAACCCTATCCGACCCCGCCCCCCAGACCCGCAATCCCAAACTAATGCCTGAACCTGAGAGGCCCAAATCCTGGGAAACAGCACAGCTCCGCAGCTTCAACAAGGGGGCCTTGGCCGACGTGTCGCCTGCCGTCGACGGGGGGTTTTTGCTGTGGGTTGGTAGGGCTTATTGATAGTGCATCCGCCGGAGTCGATGGGTTTGGTTATGGGCGTACGGGTGCTGGCACAATAAGGGTGTTTTACCAAGGCATTTGAGGTGCAATATCTGTTGTAAAGTTTGACCGTATCGTTTCCTTACTCAGGTTCGACCGGCTTCGTTAAGGATTCGAGTTACGGGTATATGGCGCAGCCTGAGTGGAGTAACAAGCGCTACTATTCCTGAGCGCCACTCATTCCAGGTATAGTCTAATATACCCCAAAGCCCTATTCTAAATATTGAAGGATCGGGCCTCGTCGCCGGGAACTGGCAGCTCCTGCAATCTTCTTTCATGCCGACGGGTCTTTGTGGCTTTGGGTTTTGGGTTAGGGGTTTAGGGGTTTAGGTCTCTGGTGTTGTGGTGGGTTTCTCTTCGGGCTTTTAGACGACTTGTGGTTTTGGCGGCTGTGACGCTATAGCGGTTGTTGGGGTATATGGGGCTAGGGGTTTGGGGATTTTCGGGTTTCGGGTTTGGCGCATGTAGGGGTTTCGGGATTTCGGGGTATTGCTACCCTAGGCGTACCACCTAACACCTCAGATCGTTGTTCAACTCAAAAGTTGAACTCCAAGTTTTCAAAACTCTCACAAAGGAATAAGACAATGGAACAAAGTGAAAGCGTGCTTAGTTCTTTTTCATTAAAACTCAACACCCTACTATCTGACCCTAGTTGCAAATATCTGGTCTTTTCACCTTAATTTCCAAGTCAATGAATCATCAACTGTGGTGTCTCTTGCTTGTGTCCTTTGTTTTGTCTTTTGTGCATGCGGGTGGTGTGTTAAATTGTAATGAAGCCCAACACTCCCTGCAAAATGAACGTGACGTGACGAAAACCAGGTTTCACTAACTAGGACTAAAATCCCTCAATAGTCCAAATTATGGTCGTTACGCGATGATATACCACCAAGACTCTATTCTCCTTACGAGGGCCCCCATCATAAACCCTATGCAGAAGCCTATTCGTGTAAAGAGCCTGAAAAACCTCTATGCAAACCGGATAGAGACAGAACTATACCAGCCGGGTTACAGAAGGCGCGTCGTCTGGATAGGGGTTACCCTCAGGCTACTACACTACTCAGGGTGTTAGGGCTTGGTGTTCTAAGATGTTTTGAAGCCTTCCTGGGCTTCGGATTTCGGTGATACCAATGTCCCACCAAGTGAAAGGATTCCGGAATGTGGTAGGTAGGTTCTCGATCCTCAATGCCCCGGCAGGATGAGCGGATTCATGAGACAATTTGACGTTCTGGGTTTCACCATGACCCCACCAAGCAGCCCCGTTCACCCTGAACCCTGAAGCCTACGCCCTAAACCCTGAACAATAAACCCTACCTGCACCCTAAACCCTGAACAACAAACCCTACCTTAGGTGGGGTTTAGACTCTTGGGACCTAAGGGGTCCGATCTGAGGGCGCCGCCGAGGGTGATCCGACTTGCGACCTCCGAGCAAAGGAAAGCATGTTCTCACGAAGGCCTTTAGGGCAAAGGCTCTAGGGTCTGGGTCCAGGTCTTAGGGTTGAGGCTGCAGGCATTAGGATTCAGGTTTTCGGGCCTGAGCATGCAGAGCCGGGCTACGACTTTTGTTGAGGGATCTATAGTGCCATTGTATTCAGCAACCCCACGAGTCTCATGATTGAGGCGACCATATTGTTGACGAACCACTCGTCGTGCAATTACCGTGGTTGCTTGCGTTGTCACTGTACTTGTGCTTCAGTTTCTTGCTGTTCCGTCGCTTGACTTCTGCTTAAGTTTCTTGTTGTTGCTCTCCCTGGCAAAAAAACTGTTGTGGTTGTTGTTGTTGCTGCTGTTGTTGTCCTGTGATTGTTGAGAATCCGGCTATGCTTATCATCATTATCACCTGAACCCGGTAGAATTGATATTCCGATGTTGCCCCAAACCCCAAATCCCAAAATCTCTCTGAGGACATGGCGAGGACATCGGCGCCGACTCCGGCATCGGAGGTGGAAAGGCAGCTTCGGGAGGCCTTGGTACGGATTTATAGGGTTTGTGTTGCCTTTAGAAGCTACGGAGTTGAGTCTTGCTGTGGTGAGCTACATCTATACATTTTTAGTTTGCTTTCTGACGGTTTTTTCCGGGAAAAAGCGTTCGGCTGAGAGTTTAGAGTCTCAGGCTTTGTGAAGGCCTCCTGGCTAAACCGCGGAAGCCCTGAAGTTTACGGCCTGCTTGGGCTTATGGTATCTTAGATTTACAATTTAGGATGCTGATCTCAGAACTCGCTGAGATATTGAAGGCCGTACACCCCAGTCAAACCATCCTCAGTATCAGTGGAAAGCTAAAGCCCCTGCTGAAACCCGAAAACACCCATTCGAAGCCATAGAGACCCAACTCCGTAAATCCCACACCCCCGAAAAATCCCCAGGGTCCCGCGCGCTTCTTCCATGAGTGCCGTCGGAGCCGTAGGCGGAGGTGCCGTGGTGATCAGCAGCTCCTCATGCAAGCCAGCCAGGCAATTTAGGGTTTAGGGTTTTCAGTGTTCGATTCAAGGTCTAGGGTTGGCTCAGACTTCTAACTACGAATACGACGACAACGGCGACGACGACTACTGCAAGTGGCACTCCTGAGAGTTGTAAAAAGAACCCCTGATGCTTACTCTCAGAGCATCTTGCCAACTTGTTTCAGGCCGATGTATTCACGCACTTAAGTAGGAGCAATTTTGTAATGAAAGATGCGAAGTGATATGCGACACAAAAAGCAACCTTCAAAAGTCACATGCAGCAACACATCGCACCAATCGTTGCCGCTGAAAAACGAAGGAACCATCACATGCCGATCACAGCCAGGCAGCAAGATCACCTTGATCATTAAAATTGTAATGCGGTAGGCTCCAAAAGTAGCGCTGCATAGTACTGGGATAATTCTAGCCGTAGACTGGCAGTGTCGATGGTAAGAGAACCAAGCCCCCTGAGTTGAAGACCAGGAAGAAAGATTCCAACTTAATGTTTCTGGCTCTGGAGACTTGCAACCCCATACCTTGAATCCCTTCATTAAACGATTGAACCCCTGAGACCAAACACTTCAAGTCTAAACCTTCAAACCCTAAAGCCAACAGCCCTAAACCCTAAAAATCCTGAACCAGGTTCAAATCACAGAAGCCTAAACCCCGAGCCCCAAACATCGCCTCAAAACCCTAAACTTTAAACCCCAAAACCTAAACCTTATATTAGCCCTTTTAGTCACACCTATATAACTACCCGTCAAGCGACCCTGAAAGGAACCATCCTAAACCATAAACCCTAAGAGCACCCGACATCTTCTAGTCTACCGTCGAAGGACGGGCCTCAGCAGTCGGCATGGGCTCTGACACAGCCGACCTCAAAGGGGATAATATAGGGCCTTAATAATTAGAATTGGGTTTTGGGGCCCGCTAAACTGTACTTATAGTGAGGAACCCCCAAAAGAGTATAGGCAATTATTAAGGTGCCTTTTTTTTTATGGGTCAAGGGGCTCCTGGGGCTGGGGGTGGTTGGGATTTAGCTCTGCGGGTCTTCGGAAATTTGGAAGCTTTTATGACTTCAAGGCTCGAAATTCTTGAGGGCTCAGGGTTCGAGCTTGCAGCTTCGAGGGTTTAAGGCTCCTGGGCTTGAGACCGTTTAAGGTTGAGGGTTTCACGAAGTTAAGGCTTCAGGGTTTGCGACTCAAGGGCCTTTGGGTGTAGGGCTTAGGATTTAGAGAAGGGATTTGTAACGGTTGCAAGGATGCCGAGCCATTGACAACTTGCAATATTGCTTCTCTTAAGAGTACATACTGCAAGAATGACTGTCCAGCAGTGCTGTTGTCTGCTTGTTCGTCATAAGAAGCTACGCTGAAATTGACAATATTGGAGGCGACGAAGCGCCAGCATGTATTGCAGGCCCTCCAGGCGATTTCGGACTTCAAGCACACAGCTTTGTCTGCTGCAGGGTGGTCGGGTTTATCAGACGAGTCTTATCATCTTATCGGGCAAGGATTAGGGTTTAAGCCTGTGTTTGGGTTTAGGGCTGCAAATTAACACGTCAAAGAGATATAGTACTTTCAAAACGGCAACCAAGGGCACCTGCAACCACTTGTAAGAACAATAGTCGCAATGGCAACGATGCTAAGAATTGCAAGAGTAGCTTTAATAGCCATAATGAGCGCACGCCCGAAACCCTGCACCCCCGACCCTAAACCCGAGGTGCACTTCCAAAAAACACACCAACTGAGGACTGGGCGTTGGCGACGGCAGCTCCGTCGGGACCTCGAAATGTGCGTTGAGGTAGGGTTCGAGTCTTAACACGGTACACTCTTCCTAAAACCCTAAACTCCTAAACCCTAAACCATGAACTCCTCAAAGAAGGAAACACCCCAGAACAACAGTGTATTGGGTCGTGTGAACCTGGAACAAGCGAGGAGTATGAGCGTCGAAATCTCTGTCGGTCAAGAGATAGGCTGAGCTCGTTGAATTGAGCAGCCATTCCGAGACGCCGACCTTGTACTCCAACTGTCCTGGAGATAAAGGGGACCATTGATCGTCATCCATACTGGTCCCCACTCAAAGACTGCGGCCAGCAATGGATCAGCCCTGGAAACGTGTTCCAATCGGGCTGTGTGCAATCCTTCTACGATCTGCCTCCCAGTATGTCCTCGTACTGTTTAAGCTTACCTTTGGTTAGTAGGGAATGGAGGAATGGGGTACAATTATAACCACTATTACCACCATTCTTCCATTCCCTACTAACCAAAGGTAAGGCAGGAGGCACAAGCTGTTGGCGGTACAAGGTCACTTCTGGAAGACGGACAGGGTCTTCGGGGCAAAGGGTTTTGGGGTTTAGAAATTGGGGTCTCGGTTTTTACATAGGGTCTTCAGGGCTTAGGGTTTGTGGCTTGGGGAGTCTTGCCGAAACCCTGCCCTTCGAATTTAATCCTTTGCCAAACCCCGCTAAGCCCTGAACCCCAAACCCCGTACCTCGAATTCAATACCCAACTAGATCCATAGTCTCGGCCCCAGTACACCGAGTAGGTAATGTAGGGGCCTTAACAAATAGAATAAGATGTTGGGCTACTTTATCTTATACTTATAATAAGGAACCCTAAGGAACACTGTTGATAATTGCCTAAGCTTCTATAGCGTGGTAAGCTGTGGGGCCGATGGTGAGGGCTCCGGGGGTTCAGGGCTTGGACTTGGAGACTCTTTGGGGTCAAGGTTTAGGGCATTCAGCGATGCTACCATGCAGTACTCCCCGGAACAAACCCTGGAGGTCGATGTACCCTGCCCAAAACGACACTCAAGTCAAGACCCCACGAACCTCAGCAGTCGGCAAGGAGCCTACAAAATGGGCTGACAGTGGTTTCTGCTTCAGTTCTGAGTCTTCCCACCGGCATGTCCGTCGGCGAGCGTGGCATCTGGCCAGAATCCGACCTTGCTGCCGCAGGAGAGATCTCAATGATAACCCTATAAGCGCTTTTGAGAGGTTCCTGCAAGGATTCGAAGCTTGATCCTGTAATTAACCTTTTCCTTGAGAGGCTAAGTAAGGAGCCACTTCGAGCCTGTGGGCTTTGGACCTAAGGATGTCTAAGGTGCAGCCATCTGGGGACAGGGATGAGGGTTTTTGTGGGGTTTGGCTTACGTTTGGTTAGTAGGGAATGGAGGAATGGGGTACAATTATAGCTACTATTACTACCATTCTTCCATTCGCTACTAACCAAAGGTAAGTTGGGGGAGGCTTGGGCTCCTACGGCTGCTTGACACCTCTGCTTCGATACGGAAACTTCGAAAGCTCCCTAGCTGCCAACTCCTTACTTCAGGTGTCCTTCTGGGATACCACGAATGCAAACACTACTTCACATGCCTCAAACCCGAAAGGCAAATGTTGACCTCCTACCCTTCGAATCCAAGTCAGATCTCCATAAGTCAGTTAAGTGCTGAAGACCTGAACCGAAATCATAAACTCTAAAACCGCGGCCCTGAACCCCGACCCTAAAGCGTAAACCCTGAAGCCATGACTGACTTCTCTGATACCCCAAGCAACCTAAGCCCGGACCACTCCTAAACCCTAAACCCCAAAGCCTACACCCAAAAAAAAACGCGAAATTCCATGAACCTTGACCACCTAAAGCACTCAACCCCGAGACGTTTTCATATCCCGTACCCAAGCTTACTATGCCATCAGACCGAAGTACCTACAAGGCAGCTACTTAAACAAACCAGCATTTGCCCCTTCGTACCGTGTAGGTGCATAGGAACTTTGGGGTTTCAAAAGTCAACCCGCAAGCCTTTTAAACCCCCGAGGCATCTGCATGAAAGCGCTGGTCCCCGCCGCGGCAGAAGGCTGAACAGGAACCTGATCCGGGCTCAGAATGAAAAGGCTCGAGGCATTACAGGGATTCTCGTGGTGTTAACATCTTTAGTGTGCAGGCTTTTAGAGAAGGGCTCATAGGCCAGTGTTGCAGGGTTTAGGGTGTAGGGTTCAGGCGAGCAACGAAAACCTTGAATAAGCAGTATATTCCACATCACTGTGTATCACAAAAGTTTAAGATTAAGCTATATTCCCTCTTTCAGGAGTACCGGGTTGGCTTCGTGTGAGGCAAGGTTCGCATCATACTGTTTACATAAGGGCTTTAAGCTACATTACATGAATAGAACAGATTTCTTGGGTGGATATATAATAGTGTAATCGTTGTAATCATATCGGGGTTTCTGTATACGGGCAAAGTATCACTGAATATTCAAGTCCCGGTAGTTTACTTAACGACTAAGACAATGAGTAAACTGGCCCTGACAATTTATACGTACGTATCTGGGGCTATATGTAACTGCACTTGCACCTATAGCCATTTTACTGTAAGCAGGTCTTGCTCAGTCAGCTGATCCTCTCCTTGCTAGACCCCTGGCCCTTTTACTATTGGTGCAAGTATACCCCGCACCCTTCAAAGACACTTAACAAAGAAACTCGTGAGGAAACCTAAACCTGCAAGAACCGTAAGCCTACTGATCCAGATTATATGTGCGTACAAGCAGCCGTCACTGAATCTGAGTATGTAGCCAGCAGACCCTAAGCCCTAAATCCTAAACCCTGGTACTGTCATGCACTCCAGAGTGGGCTGAAGTTCTATCAGGTTCTCTCTTCCGAGTCCCTTGCACGGTCCGTGCAGACCAGTTATCAAGGCTATTTCGGTGGGGACCTCAAGAACAAAATGTTCGGGCGTTTGGTTTTGCTCTATCAACCCTCAAATATGAATGTATATTTGGGTATATATACCTGGCAACCATGTACAAACATTCATTTCTGTTTTGCTTGAGCCGCAGAATCAACGAGAGAGAGAGTGAGAGAGAAAGAGAGAGAGAGAGAGAGAGACAGAGAGACAGAGAGACAGAGAGACGGAGACACAGAGGGAGCAAAAAAGCACACGAAGTCAAAACACGTGATTGCAACACAATAGTTACACGTAATGGTGCAGTACATAATTAATACGTATATCATATAGACACGAATACAAACGCCAAAAGTCATCATTCATGCTAGCAACGAGCGGCACCATGCTATCAAACACACCAACAAACATTACCGCGAGTCAGTGAGAGCTTCTGATCTGGAACCCAAAGCGCTTCACTTCCTTGAATTCCCGGTCTAGTCGGTAACTGGTAATTCCGTAATGAGAAGGGCACTGTCTTTCCTGCTGCTCAGCTTTGAGAGGGAGACCCCAAAACAGAATCGGCTAAAAGGCAACAGTGGGGGATACAGATCACAAATAAATATTGAGCTCCAACCCCGAAGTCTCAGAATTCCTGAATCATGAACCCTACACTCCCTACACCAGAAAATCCCAAAGCTTGAAGCTCACATCGTTGACCCTGGAGCCGACACCCTCAGCCCCCAGACAGCTCCAAGCATGCGCATCCGAAACGCTTTACGACCCCAAATCCTCAACTGCCCTCAACCCAACCGCTCCCCCGCCCACTCACCGAAAAAAAGGAGCCCTCAAATTTCAAATCCTGGGCTCCTCGCATTCGCCTCGTCCTCTGCAGCTCGGTCCTGCACAGAAGAAAGCCCGGTCCATGGCGAGTGTCACAGGCTTCGATCAGAGTTAGGGTTTTCGGGGCTTAGGGTTTAGGAACCCTGAACCTAAGCCGTAAGTTTAGGGCTCGGGATGGACTTGTTAGGGCGGGGTCTTCGAGGTCGGCATTGAAGTGATTTGGGGTTGTTCGCTTAGGGATTAGGGCTTTGGGCTGTGCAAGACTTTTGGGGTTCAGGTATTCAGGCATTAGGCTGTAAGGCTCAGGCGTTAGTTCTAATGCCCCGACAACTTTCAAACAGATTGGAGGCTTGGGGAACTTAGTTAGTAAGGCTCCAAGCGTCATAAGTGCCTGGATTGAGAAGATAAGCTCGCTTGTAACCCGGTAACCCCACTTACTAAGACCCCAGGTCCTTCAAGTAAAACCAGAAACCCCACACCCATACAACACCCTAAAGCCCCAACGGCCCCCACCTGAACCGAAGAAGCCGGGAACCTTTACGCCTTAAAACCAAAGAATCATACCGTCGAACCGATGAGCCCTGAAGACTGAACTGCTTTAAAAAACACTACACCCTAGAAACCTGAGGTCCCGAACATAAAGCGCTATCATAGAGGTCTGAAAAATTAGAGAATAACGCCCCTATAATCCCCATATAGCCATACAGGATTATGCTCCAGAATATCCTTTTCTGGCTATTGCGGCCTCGCCATAGACGTATCCAAGTCCTGCGAACCAATACCTTTCCCGAACCCTCAGCCCGAAAGGCCCTCTAAAATCCATACTCAGAACCTTTTCAAACTCTGTGAGCAGCTGAGTGCCGGACTCTGACGCTTGGGGGGACCAGGGTCTGTGTCGGCCTGGGAGAAGGGATGCAGAACCCCTGAAGCCATCGAGTTTTCCGGGGCTAAGCGCTGCGTCGGGGATATTCGCGGATTTCTCGCGGTTTATGTGGGTGTCCAGGGTTTTGAGGGTTGGGTTCTCGTCTTGTGGTCTTGAAAACTAGGATGGCTTTTTGGGGCACATCATGCTACACCCGATACAGGAACTGTAAGGGCCTAAGTACTACCAGTTCCCAAGTCTACGCTAGGCGGTGGGGTTTACGATTTGCGGGGTTAGGGGGTTGGGGTTTTGAGCTTTGGGGTTTTGGGGTCAAGAGAGGGGCTTTAAGAATTAGGATAAGGCTTTTGGGTCGATACGGTATGACTCTCCTTTACCAGTTGTTCGACCTCTGTTCTATCTATGGGTTGAGGTTTAGGCGGGGGAGGTTGGGGTTTTGGGAGTTATGAGCATTGCAGGGATCAGGGATTTATTGCCTTGGGTTTGAGGAACCCGTTTAGGTCACAACCAGAATCATACTGTGATATGTAAGAAATATGCCAAAATTCGATAAATACAGGCATGTTGACTGTTAAGGTATATTCCTCAGAACAGACGCTCTAATGAAATTGTTCTACGACGAAGCATTCCCTACTGAAGACATATGAGAGGGCATCTGGGTTGAGGGTTTAGCCAAGGCAAAACAATCCTCCTTACAGCGACCAATTACTGTATATCCCATTAGATTAGCGGAGGAAGCGACAATAGCGTTTTAGGCCTTGGCTAGCATGGTCTTCGGGCCCAAAGTAGCATGTCAGTCCTCAAAGCCATTGTAGTAGGGTTCAGGGCTGAGAGGTTCAGAGCACACGGTGTATGGTGCGCCGTTGCCGGTTTGCTAATTTGCCTTAGGAAATTTGATACTTCGGCTTTTAGGAATAAGCGGCTTAGAGTGCCGTAGTAGTGCTTATGGAAGGCATGCGTTGCGAAAGGTTCACAACGTCGCTATCCCAGTGATAACCGTGCTCATTTAAGGTCTCCTTCACCCTCAACACCTCAACACTCAACCTCAAACGGTAAACCTGGAAGAGAGCAACGAGCGCGCGGCAAGGTCCCAACTTCCTCCACGAGCGTGTCCACCTACTCCAACTAGCTTATAGAAGACTTAGGAATTCTGGAAAGTAGGGCGACCTTCAGGGTTTCCAAGCGACGTCGTTCTCCCCACAGATGTTCAGTTTAGGTTGTTTAGGATTTACGGCGTTCCGGCTTTAGGATCGTTCAGGCCCTAGCTTGGGCTTTCAGGATCTGGGTTTTGGACTAATGTGCGAACCTGACTAAGAAACCTGGGGTCCTTATTGGGGCTCTTAATATGGATCCTAAGAAATCAGGGGTTATAGGGCCTTCTTAGTCAGGTTCCTGCACTACCCAACACCGAAGGACATTAGTTAACTTAAATAGAATCTTTGACTAAGATAAGACTGGCTTATGTGAGCCCCAAGGGCTTAAAGGTGGGTATATTGGACAACTATGCCTCAACCCCTAAACCCGAAATCTCGTGCATTGGGTTTCAAGTCGAGTCCCGCACGCGCTCGGATTCCCGCAAGGCGTGTTCGCTTGCGATATCCGACACTCGAGATAGCATAACTGGAAAACAAGTAGTAGATATACACTTCGTATAAATGCTAATATATATATACACACACACATTCATACACATATACATATACACATGCATATACATGTACATGTACATATACATATACATAAACATATACATATACGTATACAGATACATATACGTATACGTATACATATACATATATACACATATATACATACATATGCACGCATGCAAATTGAATATACCATGACACATGCACGCGAAAAGATCAGTAAGTGTCTATCAGGCTGTCTTTCTGTCCGTCCATCCGTCGGTCTGTCTGTCCGTCTGTCTACCTACTACTTGCCAACCGACCTACCTGCCTACCAACGCCTACCAACCTACCAACCTACCAACCCACTAACCTACGAACCAACCAAGCAACCAAGCAACCAACAAGCCCACCTGCCTACCGGCTTATCCATCCCTCCATCCGTCCATCCGTCCATCCATCCGTCCATCCGTCCATCCGTCCATCCGTCCATCCGTCCATCCGTCCATCCGTCCATCCGTCCATCCGTGCATCCGTCCATCCGTCCATCCATCCATGCATCCATCCAGCGATCCAGCGATCCAGCCATACGACCATGCAACCATCCAGCAATCCAACCATCCAACCATCCAACCCTCCAGCCATCCAGCCATCCAGCCATCCAGCCAACCAATCATCCGACCATCGAGCAATCCATCCATTCATCCCATCCATCCATCTACCCATGCATATGTAGTGTACATACATAAAGACATAAAGACATACCTACGTACTTACCTACTCACATACATACATGCAGACTTGTTTATGCGTTTGTCTATCGATGTGTCTGTCTGTCTGTATGTCTGTCTGTCTGCCTGTGTGCATGTATCAGTGTATTTACGGACATACACTGATGTAATCAGATTGAGACATACATATACTGTAGTGGCCTTAATCATTACCAGTATTGTTGTGGGGGGCTCCTTTTTAGTAATTAGCGCATAATATACCCCAAAACTCTAATTAGTAAGGCACGTATAGTCTCCTCTCTCATCCCGCAGGCCCTTACCGGCCTCATCCTCGCCGCGCAGCGAGGTGGGCGAGGGAACTTCCGTAGGGACCGGCATGTCCTGCCGCAGATGCAGAGGCTCTGTGTCCTTATGAGGCGTCAAGGGATTTTGCTTCTGAGCTTTCATATGGACGGCTAACGAAGCTTTATCAGATGTGTAATGAACTTTTTCCTCAGGCTTTTTCAAGATTTAATCACCGGACCAAGTAGAAAGGTGCTTGGGAAGCGCAGTAGGGCCACCCACGCTGGCCAACTGAGACATCTCGGGGCTCCTAATTTAAGTTTCAGGGTCTTAGGGTATAGTTCGCAGTAGTGCTGGGTCAGGTCAGCAGGTCAGGCAGCCAAACAGCGCTGCTACTTCTACTACCACTACCACTACCACTACCACTACTACTACTACTACTACTACCACTACTACCACTACTACTACTACTACTACTACTACTACTACTACTACTACTCCTACTACTACTACTACGACTTAGACTACGACTACGACTACGACTACGACTACGACTACGACTACTACTACTACTACTACTGCTACTGCTACTGCTACTGCTACTGCTACTGCTACTGCTACTGCTACTGCTACTGCTACTACTACTACTGCTGCTACTACTACTACTACTACTACGACTACGCTTACGACTTACGACTACGACTACGACTACGACTACGACTACTACTACTCCTACTCCTACTCCTACTACTGCTACTACCACCACTACTACTACTACTACTACTACTACTACTCCTGCTACTACTACTACTACTACTACTACTACTACTACTACTACTACTACTACTACTACTACTACTACCTTTACTACTACTACTCCTGCTACTACTGCTACTACTACTACTACTTCTAGCTCCTGAACCGTCCTTCCTCCCTCCGGAGCGCTGCTAGGCTCGGCAGAGACAGGGGCAAAGCTGAAAGCTGGGAGAAGTTGAAACCCTAAATGGGTGGTTGTCAAAATAGGGGTCCCTTTTTGGGTACCCTAAATAATAGGTGCCGTATTATTTCAGGGACCCAAAAAGGGACCCTTATATTGACAGCCTCAAATATGTCTACAAGACAACCCGACCTACCGTTCCTCGGAAACCATGAAGCGCCATCCAAGAAACCCGCAATCCTAGATGTTGTCCTTCAGTCCTGAGTTGTACTATAATATACCAAGTCCCTACTCAAATCATGAAGGCCCCTAGCATAAAAGCCTGAAAGCCCTTTAAAGCCCAAAAACAACTATATTGAGACAAACCACATCAAACACAAAAACTTACAAAGCCCTGATTTAAAGAAAATATACAGCCCTGCAAGCCTTTTTGATTGAAACACCCTATCCCCCGTCTGTCAGACGGTGCCTCGGGCAGTTCCGTCGGTGTACGCTCGGGTGCAGACTCCGATCTCGGGGCCGGTGCTCGTTTTGTTTTGCTTTATGGCTTAAGGCTTAGGGTTGAGAAGGTGTTGCGTTGTGTCTGTGTGTGCGTGCTTTCTTTATTTGTTTGTCTGTTTGTTCGTTCGTTTACGTGCTAGATTGCTTTGGTATTGGTGTTCACTGTCCTTCTTTGGATTCTTGGTCTTGCAGGAAGGCAGCTCGGGCTTACGTGTTGTCTAGGTCAAGGGCTCAGGCTTTGGAGTTTGGAAACGACAGAAGCTGCCAGGTTCGGGTCTGTGGTGGGCCCTAAACCCTAAACCAGGTCGCTTGCTGTCCGTGTAAAGTCGAAAAGCAGCAAAGGCACGGCTTTGGGGTTGAGCTAGGGTTCAGCAAATAGGAATTTCATAGCTAGGGATTTTGGCGTTCAGGGGCTCAGGGATTGAATGTTTGTGGTGTTGACGGTTTGGTAGCATCGGACTCGCCATCATTGTCATCGCAACGGCGGTGATTTGGGCTTCAAAGCTTGGCACCTGCTGCAAAGGCATTTTGGCCGTAGAGCTTCGGTCTGGACTTTCGAGCTTAAAGGCTTAACGCCTAGAGCAAACGGTGTTTTCGGATGCTCTTCAAACTCGGAGCCTGCAGAAAAAAAACTATGATTTTCATATGCATTCGCAAAGCGTTCAAACATAAAGATGCAGAGACTACGATGCCCTTTAAAGGTTCCTCCGTACTCAACAAAGCAACTTCTTCGGAGTCTCCGTACACCCAGAAACCTTTAACCTAAAATACTTGGAGCTCTCAGCCAAAAATGAAAGCCGATAGAAGCGATGGTAAACCCCTACAAAGAACTGATCAACTCCCCCCGAAGACTTTAATATCCCTTGTAAGCCGTTCTAAAATCCTACGAAAATGTTTCAAGAGGCCTTGTTGCTCTTTAATGAACGTACTAAATCAACTTTCAGCATTATCCATACACCAAGAGACCTTCAACCTTAACACGGGGAGCCGTAAGCCCATAATGAAGCCCTCAGAAGCCATGACATAACCAACCCAGGACTTGATCAACGCCCCTAAAACACGGTAACGCTCCGAAGATTCTGCAAAAGTCCAACAGGACAGAACTACAAAAGGCCCCTGACTGCCCTCATGAAACCTCTGCAAAAGCTCAGATGTCCACAATGCACTGTCAAGGAGGGCCGACCCAGTTCGCGCCGGGATCTGAGGGATCCAGGAAGCTGGGGTACTACGGTTTGGGGCTGAGCCGAGTTTTGGGCCTCAAGGTCCAGGGGTGAGTAGGGTTTGGCGGTTCTAGGGCTTTGGGTCTTAGGGTTGAGTTGGGCTCGGGGGTTTTAGGGCGTTGGGCTTTCAGGGTTTTGGGTTGAGGATTCTTTACATTGCTGTTGGATAGAGCCTATAGCGTTTCTGTTCGATGTTGAGGCGGATTTTATACAGGGCGTGTACAGCAGGGCGAAAGAGTTTTACAAAGGTTGTTTTTCGAGTTGGGATTCGTCTAAGACTCCCTCAGTACGGATTCAATTTGTTGATGGGCAGTGATGCGTAGAGCCTTCATTGGGTGGATGGGAACCCTCGAAGAATTTAGCGTTTAAATAGGGTTCCCGTACAGAAGAAACCCCTTTTAAACCACAATCCCTCAAACCCATGACTTGAAGTGTTGTAACCCCGAACTACTAAAGTACTGCGACCCGCAAGCAATACCAAAAAAACCGTGCAGGAGCCTTTAACAAGGAAGAACCCTCATCCCTAAACGCTGAAGCTCCATGAGGGGTGTGGGGTTTCAGGTTTCGTGGTTTTGGCTGTAGGGTGTCATGCTTAGAGTTTTAGGTTGAAGGTTTAGGGTTTAGAGCCTAGTGACTCAAACATCTGCCGCGCAAACCCGGCGGGACCATCTGCAAAACCGAACAACTACAAGACCGAGCCGGAGCACTTACATTTTGGAGACTGGCGGGGCTCTCGTTGCACAAACTCTAGTGCATCTGGCTCCACAGCTCAAGAGACTCCCCAGCTCACAAGCATTACCCCTGCTGATCCAGCCTCCAATTCACCTGCCGCTGGTAGCGGCGAAGCCTGGCATTGGGGTTTAGGCTTAGGACTTGGGGGGGCCAGGGTCCACGGACACCTGAAAGTTCTATACATACCTGAATTACGGGCCGGAGCACTCTCAATTCCTATTCCCTTAGTTATAACCTTGCAATTTGATTATAATCGACCCCCCCTACCTTCCGGAAACTCTTACACAAAACCACTATAAGGCCTGAAAACCCTTACGAGCAATTAGAGAACCCCCGCGGGTGTAGGGATTTGGCTTTGTGAAGGCCGGAACGGCTTTCACGGTTCATCCAGAAAGCCAATTTACGATTTCATTCAAGGTGCTTGTAGGTCCTCGAGGGGTTTCACAAGGGTGTAAGCCATGCAACCGAAAATCCTCCGGCGTTTTGTCTTGGTTCCCAAATATTTACTTTCAAGTGACCCTCCTGCAACGACTCCGATGCTCAGCAGGAATCCTTCACATGGCCATGTCCCGAAAATCCGACAATCACGGCCATCAGATCCAAAAATCCAAAACCCTAAAAACCCTAAACACTGAAAGCCGCTAAAATCAAACCCTAAGTCCCAACCAACTCAATGACTCTAATGCCCTCAAAACGGTGCCAGGCTCCACGATGCCGAAGGCGTCGGGTTCTGTAGAGCCATGCTTTTGTGGCGCGTTGCAAATCGATGTCCGGAATCGGCTGTGGGTTTAGGGTTTATGATTTAGCGTTCCGAGTTGTAGAGTTCAGCGCTTTAGGGGGCTTGGGGCTGCTGGAAAAGGAGGTCGGCGTTTCGGAAATTTATTGGCGGTTTCGTGTCAAGGGGTTGACGAGAAACCATGAGGAACCCCAGCTGTCCTGGTGGCTGCAAGGCGGCATCCGGCAAAGGGCCGACGATGGCCTTGGCCGAAACCGACTTCTGAGGTTCTTTAACCCAGGGTTATGCGCTTCAAATGCTCGAAAGTAGGGCCGCCTTATGGTTTAGGTACCAGGGTTCGATTGAGGCTAACTAACGTGGCTTCTCTCTTCTTGTTATACTGTGATCCTCTTCTGCTAGGGTTCCGTGTTTCAGGGTATTGCGGTTTGAGGATTTGCGCCACTTTCAAACGCGTCACATGCACTGCTTTCGCGGGGTTTTACCAGGCTTGCGCAGAGGCTTGGGGATTATGGGACTTTTCTAAACCACTTTGGAAGGAATGTAAGTCGCATTTAAGGTTTGGGTCTTGGGCTTGGGGCCCCCCCCCGGGCATTAAGTCTCAAAATGTGACGAAAAACGACAGGACTTCACCTTTGAGCCGCACCCGTCTCAAGGGAGCTCCCAACACAAAACCCACAGGATTAAAAACCCCCACCCCAGCCGTAAGCCCTGCACCAATCCTTTGCGATTTGAAGACTCACGCTTACAGTACCCTTATAGACGCCCATTATAGTACCCTCAGACAAGCCTAAAAGTACCCTTACAGTAGGACCTACACTCAGTAGCACCCTTGCAGTAGATGCTTACAGTGCTTACAGTACCCTTATAGACCCATAACCTTCATAGAACCGGCCCAGAACCAAGCCTCCTCCTCGTCGTCCCCCTCATTCATGGAAGTCGGGGACGGCCTGCATTTGGCCAAGAGCTCCGTCGAAGCTATCCCGCACTCAGGGTTTTAGGGCTTTTGAGTTTGTAGGGCTTACGGTCCAGGTTTTAGGGTGCTTAGGGTTCAAGGTGCCCAAACAGGCTTGGGGTTTCCATCTCGAGTTTAGAACACTGTTCACCCCATGGTTTGAGGATTTCTTGAGCTTTGGCCGAGGAAGTTGATGCATCACAAGCCGCTACGCCATCGCAGTTTGAGGGGATTTTGCCTGGAGGTTCATTGTATGACCAACTGTGCAATTTTGCAGTAAACCTCCTGCCCCCCAAGCAACCCTGGCAGGCACGCATGACGAAGCCCTGCTACTCACTAGACTATAAGTGTAACTACGGTTAACTATTATGGTGATGGTTATACGATTAGTAACGCTCCTACCAATATGAATGTGATTGTTGCTACTATTACTGCCAGTGCTACTACTACTGCTACTACTACTACTGCTGCTGCTGCTACTACTACTACTACTACTACTACTACTACTACTACCAGTACTACTACTACTACTACTACTACTACTACTACTACTACTACTACTACTACTACTACTACTACTACTACTACTACTACTACTACTACTACTACTACTACTACTACTACTACTACTACTACTACTACTACTACTACTACTACTACTACTACTACTACTACTACTACTACTGATAATATTAATGATAATAACAATACTGCTATGATTCTGCAAGTTCGATCCGACCAGCTCGGAGACTGGTGACGGGTTCAAGAGCTGAACTCCCGGGAAAAGGAAGAAAACCAGGGGGCCTTCATGCTTGGAAAATGGTTTTCGGCTCCGTTGTAGTCTTATTGTAACAAGGAACCCTGAGAAAGAATATGGGTAATTATGTAAGCCTCTATAGTAACCGCATTGATGGGGCCTACATGACATGCCGGTTAGATCATACTGAGGCATTCACAAGAAGGGGGAATGCAGAGATCTGACACCCAAGAACCTCACTGCTAGACAAGTCCTAACTCCAAACCCGACACTAAACCAACAACCCTGAACAAGAAACCCACACCCTGAATCATGCCGTAATTCATGCGCAGAACCTGTCGCCTTTCCCGAACTTCTTACCTTAACACTTAGTACAGAATGTGTTTTCTGTTAAGGAGGTTTAGGGTTTATGGCGTGTAACTGAGGCTCAGGGTTGATAGGTTACCATAAACTTAAACGGAGGATATGAAGTTACATAAATTTAAAACGATTTAGGATAGGGATCGTAACCAGCGAAGGCAGCAGACGTACAAGTTGTGCTATGCATCCCCCACACTTCCCCGGCCCTTCAAAACTAGTGGTATTCTTACAGACCCCACTATGAGGGCTACGAGGGCTCTTTGGGGGGTTGTCAGAGATACGCCAAAGGTTCCTTGCGGTCGGCACCGGCAAGTCAACAGGAGAGGTCCTGAGCGTGGTTCTGGGCTTGGGAGTTTTAGAGCTGTTGAAACGGTTGATGATATAAATCCTGCATTACCCATAATCAGGGATATACCATAATTCCCATAGTTTAGGGTCCGTAAGGTAATGCAGGATTTATATCATCAACCGAAGTTCTAGGCTGTTTAGGGTAAAAAGTGTTTCGGGTTTAGGGAAGTCTTGGGGTGTGGGCTTCAATACATGTCCAGGATTTAGCAGCCCCAGCCCTAAACATAGTAGGGCATAAGTGTGGGTTTTTGTGACCACTTATAGAATATAAGTCCAGGTACTTTTGATGAATTACTTGCAGCATCTCGACTAAGTACAACTACCAATGAACCTGCAGCTCAGGGGCTTGGGTTTTAGGTCGGGAGCCTTCGGAAGGGTCTGATTCTGCTGGGATTTAGGAGCGCGGAGATGTGGGAACTGGGTCATGAGACTCCTCTGGAGCCTGAACCGTAGAACCGTAACCCTCTAGCCCTACTCCCCAATCCGATGCAGCCAACACCTCCAGGCATACAGGGTCTAGGATTGCTGGGTGGCTTCCTCGAAATTACAATCCGAACTACGTACTCTTGCCAAAGCTGCCGAAGAACAAACGTCCCCGGAAACCTTCCAATCTCTGAAACAATTTACTCAAAGAGCCAAAGCACACACTGCATGGTTGCCCGCAGCACACACACACACACACACCACTGGTACCTTATGAACCCTTGATGATTGGATACACTACCCTTAAACCCTAATGCATCCTCAGCAAATTCCATACTGAGCAAAACAGTGGAACCTTGGGGAGGGTCAGATTTCTGGGCTCCAGGCTGCGTGACGGACGTGACGGGTCGAGAGTGAGTCAGCGTCCTCTCGATGCTGCTGGTCTGGGCCTTGTCGAGGGTTTAGGATTGGGGGTCTAGGATTTATAGAGTCTCGGGTTGATAGCTTTTGGAGTCTACGAGTCTACAGCGAAATATGATGTTACAAGGTTTGCTGAAAAGACAAATGTGCAAGGTATTGTAGGGCGACAAGGTTGGGGTCCAGGGGTACCCCAACGGGTGCTTCCATGGAGATGCCCCCAACCTGCGTCCAAAACTCTCAGCCCTAGACCCCATAAACCCCTAACCGAACTCTTCGAAAACACCGAATAACACCTCATTGAAAGTGCTACCCTTAATGGTGAATATGAAATATATGGAGTTGGGGGGACGCTGTTCCGGGGCTTCGGGCTTAGGGTTTTGAGCTGAAGCTTCAGGGTTCCTGGGTTTGGGTGGTGGGTTGGCGGTTGAATGTCGAGGTTCAGGGTCTGAACCTTAGGGATTTCGGGTTTAGCGCGTTCGGATGTGCGATTTTCGGTTTGGAGCCTAGGGTGGGAGGGTTTAGGGCTTGAGGCTTCGAGGGGCCAGGGTTTACAGCTTCGCGTCAGGGTCGCATGGAATAAGGATAGGGGCTAGAAACACGAAAGTATCCTCGCCGCCCTGCACGATGCCGACTGCATGGCTGGTGTTTGTGAGTAATCCTGCACTGCCCCTGAACAAAACAGCATCACGAAGGCGAATCAGCTGTGTCTCTATTGCAGTCTCGACAGGGTAAACACACAATATCCAGAACTCATGGAGACATCACAGGTGGTCCTGCATAAAACATTTTCCAGTGTACATACTTTGCCGATTTAGATCTAGACCTCGATTCAATAACTCTCTTGAAGGGCCGTGAGACATTCGGATGGGAGAGAGAGAGAGAGAGAGAGAGAGAGAGAGAGAGAGAGAGAGAGAGATGGGAATGGGAATGGGAATGGGAATGGGAATGGGAATGGGAATGGGAATGGAATGGGGGAATGGGAATGGGAATGGGAATGGGAATGGGAATGGGAATGGGGGGAAGGGCGGGGGGGGGGCGGGGGCGGGGGGCGGGGGGGGGGGGCGGGGCGGGGCGGGGGCGGGGGCGGGGTGGGGCGGGGGCGGGGGCGGGGGCAGCAAAAACCGACAAAAAGGGGCAAAGGGATCCAAAGTCAAATTGCAGACCCCAGAGCCCGAAGGAATGCCCACAATCCAAAACTGTAAAACTGTGCTCTGCATGGGATGCCACCAAGGTCGCGACCGCCGTGACCATGGGTGCTGTGACCGTCTCACCTCGTGCACAGGACCACGTAAGGAGGATGGCACTATCCAGAGAACACAACACCTCTTAGTTATACGATCGAGAGCACGAACAATTTGGAACATATCCTTAACATTACTGAACTGGTAGGACTATTGCCAGCAGCTAGAACAGCAGATATGATCTAGGGCCTGAATGTAGACCCTAGTATGAAAGTTACAACGACACTGGCAACAGAGTAGGTTCTGGTACGTTGAGGTAATTAGAACCTACCCCTTGAACCCTAGGCCTTTGTCCTGCGACCCTAACCCGAAACCCTGAAACCTATGCCTACACCCTTCCCCCAAACGTAAGACGTAAAGCTCGCACTTGGAACTGAACCCCTGTCCCGGAAATCCGAACCCCTGAACCCGCAAGCGCGTCTGCCTTCCTCTTCATCCTCGCAAGGTGTGGTCGGTGATGGGACATCCGTCGGCACAGGCATCTCCGTAGGGGAGCGCTGTTGTCCTCAAACAGGCTGGTTCGGTTCGGTAAGGTCGAGGGTTCTATATACTGTACTAGTTAGAGTAAGGTTTCATGGGATATGTTAAAGTGTAGACAAAAGAGGGTAAGATAATATACAGTTACCAAACGTTCAAGCCCTTGTAGCTGGGGTTAGGCTTTTGGATCCAGAACAAGTTTCCTGTTCTCGTATGGTCATACTATGTATGCATGCATGGATGGATGTATGTCTTGGTATGTCCGTCTTGTTATCTGTCTGGCTGTCCGTCCGGTCCGTCCGTCCGTGTTTCGGTCCGTCTGTTTGCCTGTCTCCGTCCGTCTGTATGTATTTACATATGTATGCAGTTGTGTATGTAGGTGTGTATGTACATTTGTAGGTGCGCCCATATGTGTGCATGCATGCATGCAGGCAGGCATGCATGCATGCATACACGTATATGCGTATGTAGATATACCACAAATACAAGATACGTAACTGTAACAGATTCGATGCGGACTCACCTACGAAAGTTGAACGGTCAGAGTGTGATGGCTGGCGGCTTAAGGTTGCCTGGGGAATATCCTCTAAAACCAAAGCCCGGGCCCTAAACTAGTTCACGCTCATTCCTGCCGAGTCTGTAGATTCGCTACGACATGGATGGTATACCAAAACCCTAAACCCTGAACCCTAAGGCTTGTGGGCTCAGGATTGAGAGCCCAGGCTTGCAGCTCAGGGTTTTGGATTTGTCAGGGGCACCTTAGCTTTCTGATACTTCAGGCCCATGTGAACCACGGCCTGTGGTCCCACGCCGTGTAAAATAGTAGGCGATGATCCCGTACCTTACGTGGTAAGCCTGCAGGTGGTAAAGGGCCCCAACGCCCTCACTTTTTGGTCGAATGAAACATTCCGCAATTAGTGCCAAAAAACAACGCGGCATTGCAAGGAGCCCTGCCAAACTACAAAATCGTATTGGGCTACCCCCCATCACCCCCACCACCTCAAAAGAACACCCACCAACAAAACGTGTCCAGCCTGATGCCATTGCTGAGGAGCCGAATGCCTCGGAGCCAGAAGCTTGTTTTGATTTGATGTAGCACTAAGGGGCAGATGCAAACGAAGCAAAGAATCAAGACATCACCTGTAAATTACGTGTTAGAACCCTTTGCTGTTTCCTGCTGTTTATCAAATGCGATTTTCTGTTCGACATGGCTTTGAGTTAGACAGGGTTCTGTCAGACCTATATTTGTGTTCTACAGGAGCTTTTCTTTGACTGGGCTTTCTGTCTGACAAGGCTTTCTGTGACGCAGTGTTGTGAGATTATTCGAAATGGGTTGTTTTGGCGTGGTGCGCCCGCAGAACCTCTGAAACTTGGAACTCACAAAGAGCATATGGCGATGCATATATACATATACACATACTCATATAGATATACATATATACGTACAGAGTTGGAGAAGTAGCCCCTTGCATTATTTCAAGTTAAACCCGGTCAGGCACGGTGACGACTTCCTGGGCTTCTTCAATTCGGAGTTGGGCTCAAGTTCAGGGCTTGGGAGTTACTTCAATCAGTCCAAAAACCCTACCCTTTTTCAGGCATATAGATAACTACAACCGTAGATTGTAAGGATTCAGGTAGGGTCAGCTTTCGGTCTGAAGCCGTCAGCCGCAGGAGCAAGGTCCGGGCTCTGGAGGAATGGGTCCAAGGGTAAAAGGAGGGACCCTTAATAAGGACCCCTAGGTATATAGCCTCAATATATCTATCACATACCCAATATATAGCCCATTATATGGTAGGGGTCCCCATTAAGGGTCCCTCCTTTTGCCTTTTGAATGGGTGACGTCAGGAGATAAAGTGGCTTCTGCGGAGTTTGGCTTAGGGTTTATAGGGCTTAGGGCTTATAAGCGTGTTATACAGCTTTACCATGGCTTTTGAAATGGATGTATGGTAGTTGTCGTGATTGTAAGGAATCTTTAAAAGGTATACTTTTGCTTGCCGATGGAAATCCTCTCCACTACTATGGCCTCAACCCGACAATCAACCAACAAAACAAGTGCAAGCCCTAAACCCTCACAGTCCCATGACACGACTCCGACACCCACACCTGAACACGTCAGCGGAGCCCCCGAAGTGTGAGAAGACTCAAAAGCCCGAGATCCAGACACTAAGCCATATATCCATACACCCGAAACACCTGCGAAAAGTAGTTGTAGTCAAGTTAGACCCTAGATTCTCGATGTAAATCTCATACCCTGTATGCCCCGCATCCTAAAACTTCTTAGCCCTCCACCCTAAACCCTATAAGCATGAAAGCCACGAAGCCCAAACCACCTTCCCTCCCAAAACACCCCAGTTCACATCGAATCAAGGCACGGAGGAGCCAAGCATGCCGGACTCGACTGCCTGGGTTCGTTGGGTTCAGGGTTTGAGGCGTCGGATACGGTAGGGGTTTAGGGTTTAGGGTTTAGGGGTTTAAGGCTCAGGGATTAGGGTGTAGGGCTTTAGGGCTTAGGGTTGGGTGCTATGTGGGGTTTACTTGACGTATGACAAGGTTTCGCTAAACCCTAAGCCAGTGTAGATTGTACCTGTCGAGGGATTTGGTCACAGAGTTGTGTTTGGGGCAGAGGTTACGGTTTTGAAAGCTTCGGTCTGCTTCCTTTGGGATTTACAGGGCTGGGGTATACGTACAGGCTGACTCAATTACTGCAGTCTTGCATCGTCAATCGTCAAGACAAGCAGACAAGCGAGCAAACAAGTAAAAGGAAAATTAGCGCTTAGTTCTTCTTTCAGAATAAATGTACAGGCTTTTGAAAAACCCAACCACGTTAGGTCAAATTTTGTGTATTGCTGAACAAAAAATTCCGATACGCCGAAGCGCTAGGCCTCGCCAGCTCGTACACCGCAAAAACCATCATACCACCCCCCCTCAAACCTTGACTAAACATATAGATGCATGGATCCCCTGGGTACACTTGTAATGCCTAGCTTTCAGGCGCCCTGCCTAAACCAAGATCCGAATCGTCCCTATACTCTGAAACCCTCAAACCAGCCGGCTGCTAAGCTCTAGTTTCTGAGCTTTGGTGTCTGACATGATTAGCTGCTTTCCGACATGTGTACCACAATGAGGACCCGAATTGTCAACCAACCCCAATGTTATAACTTTGGGCCCCAGTAAGACGCAGACAACAACTGGCGCGGACACCCTTGGCCGGCGCGCCTGCCGCAGTTTACGTTTGGACATGAGGTTTCAAGAGTAATATTGGGGCCATTACTATTGGAATAGGGTTTTGGGGGCCCATTATAATATAAATAGCATAAGGAACCCCCAAAATAGTGTAGGTAATTATTTAGGCCCCCAGAGTACCCCAGAACCCTGCATACAGGGTCCTGCAAGTGTCCTAGACTTGGGGCGTTCGGAAGCGGGTTTAGGGTTTAGGGGTTTCAGGTTCAGGGTTCAGGGATCGTGGTCGCTTGGGAGAACAGGCTACAGGTTCAAAACACTCGAACGGCTCTGGAACTGAGCCCGATATCCCGAAACTCCACCTGAAACAATAAGAACCTCTGTTCTGTAGGGTCTTGAGCTGTAAGACTTTTAGGGTCTCGGGCATAGGAATTAGGCTTAAGGTTTAGTGCTTGTTCAGGACTTAAAGGTTTAATCCTGGAGCCTAAGTTGAGGGCTTGTTTGCAGGGTCATCAACATTAGACGTGACAAAAACATTGGTTATGCCAAGACCCTGCAACAAGTAGGTTCTGTCGCAATTGGGGGACTTGTTCACCTAGGTCGCCGCTTCCTTTCAGGGTCTGAAGCGATCCAAAAACCGCCTTTGTACGCATTATATGTAGCACCTATATAACCCTACGAAAAGACCTGACCTGTAGAGCACGACTCTCAAGATGTACCGGAGCCCGAGGCATGAACTTCGAGGAAAGCGGGTGTCCCCAAACCTTTTTTCAGCGGCGCAAACTTATACCCTAAAACTCGGGCTCTCGTGTCAGAGCATGCCTGAAGCCATCTGAAATAAAACAAGGCCATTCGGATTGAATCGTCTACAAAGTCAACCCAATCGGCCATGCATTTCGTGCTCTGCTCCTTCAGGCCTCTTGCCGTTGCCACGGTCTCCAAAGCTTGCTTGTGCGTTTTAGTAGGAAGGGCACCATTCGTGGCCACCTTGCCGTCCTGGACAAGCTCCGCCAGCAACATCTTGATTTCTTCGAGGATCTCATATACAGCTCGTCGACTTGCCCTTAGGCTCACGCTGGGAGCCCCCACATTTTACAGATAAACCAACATCAGGATTGAACCAACTCTAGGTCGCCCACACCCACCGAAGCGTGCTACCTACCGTTGCTTGCACATGAGGCTCACACACGCAAGCCTTTGGCTTCAGACCCTTCAAACTTGCAGCCTGAACTGCACATTACCGTGTTGACACAGGTCGTCATAAGGCTTTAGAGGAGTCTTTGGTCAGTATGACTCCTAACTTCTGTTCACGAAGACGAAGACCGGCATGACATCCGCCCTGAAACCTAAACCCCAAAAGCCCTAAAGATCCAACATACCCAGGAAAGCCGCCAAAATCCTGCCTCAAGTTTTGAACCGGGTGTTCATACAGCGCTGGATAGGGTTCTACTACGCGGCTCATGGCATTTTCTAGCCCCCCCCCCCCCCGCACCGACAGCTCCGTGGGCGAGGGCCGCTCCGTTGGCACTGGCAGCTCGCTTGGCGACTGCGTGGCCGCCTGAAGGTCTTTGGGAGTTGGGGCTTCGGGGTTTCGGGCTTTTAAGTTTAGGGTTCAAGGCTTAAGGGTACAGGGTTTAGGGTTTAGGGCTCAGGGTGTACGGTGTGTAAGGCTTAGAGTGTAGGCTAGAGGGTTCAGGCTTCGAGGACAACAACAGACAAAGACATGGATATGGTTCTGTGGGTTAGGGTCTAGGTCCTGAGGTCTAGGGAATTACTCATGTATACATGTGTGGTTCACTAAACCAGGAGACCTTCCAAAGAGGGAAGCACCCTGGGGATCTGAAAAATGACCCTAATTTGGAGAAGTAGCCAACTCTGTACACACACACAGAGATACACGTAACACACACACATATGCATCTACGCCAAGTGTAGATAAACGTAAGCTTTGAACGCTCCAACCCCCAAAACAGGCTGAGGGCTTGGCGGATGAAGACATGCCGACCATGGACGAATACACCTGCAAAGTGCGATTGGAAGCCCTGTGCCCTGAACCCTGACGTGTTAACTCGCGTGCAGATTCTTGATATCAGCTACCAAGATAGGCACCGAAGAAAATGCAATGCAAGCAATATCCCTGAAGTGGCCAGGCAAGAACTCATTTTCTACCTGGCTTCTTTGTTCCGATGAGTCGGGCTTTGCGTCCCGGGTTTAAAAAAAAGCCCGGACAACCCGTGGCGGTATGCCCTGGCTTGTCCCAACAACATAAGGTCCCCAAACGCCACTCTAATTCCCAAGGCTGCCCCAAAATTGGTCAGCTCTTCTCTCGAAGGAAAGTCGATACCAGAGCGAACAGCTATCCTCAGCAAGCATACACAAGACTCAAGAAACACACATCTCAGGTTCAACATTCAAAACCTGCACATGAGCCCCACAGCCAAAATCCAAAGACCTTGGGCCCCCCGTACCGAAAACAGTCTAATGAAGTAAAAGCCACGGAACAACGCATATGTATAGACAGGTTTCATCTACATGTACAGGCCCCAAATATACGAGTGGTCTAGGCAAGCACTGGCAAAAGCTTTAAGGCTCTTAGCTTCCATCTGATGAAAACCCTAACCCCCCTTGCAACCCTATGAAACCTGATGTAAACCCCTATGAACCCCATATAAAACTTAGGGAAGCCTGTATATAAAACTCAAAAACCTTACCCTCCCCTCCACCCCACCTGAGGGAGGCCCGCTTCCATCGCCGCAGGGCTCCTTGCTGGCACCTTGGGCGTCACTTAGTGCTTCTCTTCAAAGGTCCATTAAGGGAAAGATCAACCGAGCCCCCATGGCCCTGATGTAGATTGTAGGACTCCTTTCTAATAAATCTCGACATGACCACTGCGGCATGTAGCATGTGATCGGGCTTCCGATTCTTTTGGGTGGGGCTCTGTTTAGGGGTTTAACGGCTGTCAAAGCTTTCGGATTTCGGGCTTGGGATGCAAAACCATAACCCTAAACCCTTAAACCCCTTGAGGGAACGGCCAATCACCAATCCCTTTCTCCTCCCAGAACAAAGCCAGAAGATCTCCCCTCCAGGGTCAAGAACCCCGAAACCCGAGTGAAAGGCCCTCATCCCGAAACAGACGGGCCCGACTCGTAAACCCCTACAGTAGAAGCCAGAAAGTTGGAATATGATTATCCTAAACCCTTTATGGTAAATTATAGGGTATCCTACCCTGAAACCATATTCCAACTTTCTGGAGTTCCTTTAAACCCAAAACCATGAAACCTAAACCCAAAACTCTAAACCCCGAAAGTCCCTAAAAGCCAGATCCGACAAGCTGGAAATGCCTTAAACTTAAACTCTGCCACCCGACCTCCGGGAGGGCGCCGTGTGATGCCGGCGATGGCATCTCCGTTGGCACAGGCACCACCATCTCCTGGCCGTAGAGGCCTTAATAATTAGAATAGGGGTTTGGGGTATATCATATTATAACCACCATCGCCTGCCCCTTTTTTCTGATGCATGTCGAGTTGGCCTTTAAACCTTAGGTTAGAAGTCCGGGGTTCAGAGTTTTAAGCTTTCCGAGCTTAGATGTTTTGGGAGCCCAAAGCTAGCACCTCAAAATTGCCTCTAAAAGAAATTTATCCCTTCAAATTCTGGGCTTCAGACCCTGCTCATCCAAGCTAGAGATTTCGGACTTGGGTTTATAGTTTACGAGAACACTGAAACCGTATCTGCTCCAGGACACAGATCACTCATCCTGGAATCCTGCTAGGGAACCGTGGAACTCTTGTTCGAGGGTTCCGGTGATCTCTACGTGGGGCTTAGGGCCCCCGACCCAAAGCAAGCCCTAAACCCTGCGCAACGCGTGTCAGCGCGGCTGTGGGAGAACGGAGCTTCCGTACCGACCTGGCCAAGGAAAGTGACGGCCTACTGAAACGATTGGGGGGCTCAGTGGGTGGGGATGTGGAAGGGCTTCATACATAAGATGGCGTTCTGAGAGTAGACGAAGGATCGGCCGACCTAGTAAATCGGGCCTTCAGTAAGGGTAACTAGAGTTAGAATAACAACTTGTCACCTTACTGAAACCATTTTTAAATGCTATATACGTCCCCTGAACCCCCAAGTAGGACACAGAAAGCCCAGTAATTCCTTAATCGGTCCAAGAATGTTGCTGGAATTGTATTGGCTACGAGTATCAGGGTGGGATCACTGGCGGTCTCCACGTCCAAGAGGGCTTTCACATCTGTCACGAAGCGGACGTCGCCTTGCCGCGAAACCGCCAAGTCGAGAACCCCAGGAGTGTTCCACCGCCATGGTGAACATCCTGCATATAAACAAAGTTAACCACTCGCCGTCCCAACGAGCTGAGGAAGCCTGCGCCCTTTTTCGTTTTCTTGGCCCACTCCGTGGCTTGGTGTTTACAGTCTAGGAATTCAAGGCTTTGGGTCTTAGGGCGACTTGTGGTGTTGGGATGTCGGGCGTGGGCTTCCGGGTGTTTATTACGGTTTCTCTGAATCAGGAAGCCCTGAAGAGAGTTGCAGGCTTCAAGCCCCAGGAATTTCGGAATTTACGAGGACTCGATCAGGATTCTACAGGGCTTTATCTAGTTTGAGTGTGGGGTTCAAGGTAAGGTTTGTGATTAGGACTCAAAGCCTAGAGTTGAGAGTTTCGGGTTGGCGGCTCCAGTTTTCGGAGATGGGGACCCGCAGCTTCGATCGATCTGTTTGCAAGAAGTCCGCGCGATCCCAAGACTATGGCTTAGGTCTATACTTTGTCTACGGAGAATCCCGAAGACAAACGTAAGACAAACAGTCTCACTTACCCAGCCTCCTAGCAGATCTTCTACTCTGCTAGTAGTCTGCGGCTCCCATGCAGACGTGCGGGGAACTGCGCAAGCTAAGACCAGAACTGCGCAAGACGACTTTGGTAGGAGCCTTCGGAGCCCTGGAGTAGTGTCAGAACAAAGTTATACACCGAGACGTTTAGGGTTTAAGGTTTAGGGCATCCAGCCAAGTCCTTCCTGTGAAAGGAGACGAAGCCTCAAATCATGAGTCTTCAGCTCCAACACAGACCCGGGACCCTGAACAACAAAACCTAATTCCGCAAACCCAGAGACAAAACCCAGTAGCCTAGCACGAAACCCCACAAAGCTTGTACCACAAAACACACTTTACACAAACAACAATTTCGATTAAGGAACTAAATAAGCCCTAACTCTCCCAACCCCGAACTCAACCCTGAACCCTTGACCCTGAACCCCAAAACCTGCACCTTCATCCCTGAACCCAAGTCCTTGGTAACCGTGGAGCTCCGAAGCTTAAACATGGGGGCCTTGGTCGACGTGTGGCCTGCAGTCGACGTGGCTTGGCTGATCATGTCCGATGGGCTTAAGGTTTACGGTTTGGTGCTTGGGCGTGTGTGGAGTTCAATGGCTTGTGCACAGGTCTGAGTAGCTTCAAGGCTATCCCTTTGTGGTTATAGTCCCCAGCCAAGCGTGCTATACTACAACAATACATCCTTTCCAACTACGAGGCCCAGGTGCACGTTGTCAAGGATTTGAATTCCAAGATCTTATGGTTCATGGTTGAGGCTGGCTTAGGGCTTGCTCCAAACCTTCAAAATATTCTTTTCGCTAGGTATTCGCCATAAAAACAGAGGCCACAGAACCCTGCAAAGCCTCCTTCTGTTCCAGGTACACAAAGCCCTCGATTCCGAAGCCTCCCCAGAAATTCCGAAACTTTCGATCGCTGACCTCTAAACACAGCCAAGCCCGCTTTGAGGCTTGGGGATGTCTGGGGGCTTTGGGGGTTAGAAGGGTTTACCAGGTATCCCATAACACCATTCTGCTCTTCAGGCCCCAAAGCTAACCCATGATTTCTATTCCCACCGTGTTTTTGGAAGCCTTAACCCGCCTGAAGCCCAAAAAACCCTGTCCTGAATGCCCTAAACCCTAAACCATGAACCCTAAAGCCCTAAACCCGAAATCCTAAAGCCTATAAACCCTAAACCCTCAAGAACTAAGCCCTAAACCCTAAACCCTAAACCTTAATTACTATTAGTATTAATATTAAGAATAATATTAGTATTAGTATTAGCATTAGCATTAGTATTAGTATTAGTATTAATATTAGTATTAATATTAATATTAGTATTAGTATTAGTATTAGTACTAGTATTAGTATTAGTATTAGTATTAGTATTAGTATTAGTATTAGTATTAGTATTAGTATTAGTATTAGTATTAGTATTAGGATTAGTATTAGTATTAGTATTAGTATTAGTATTAGTATTAGTATTAGTATTAGTATTAGTATTAGTATTAGTATTAGTATCAGCATTAGTATTAGTATTAGTATTAATATTAGTATTAGTATTAGTATTAGTATTAATATTAGTATTAGTATTAATATTAATATTAGTGTTAGTGTTAGTATTAATATTAGTATTAGTATTAGTATTAGTATTAGTATTAGTATTAGTATTAGTAATATATTAATAGCCCTAAAGCCCTGTGCCCTGGCCTCGTCGCCTGGAACTGGTAGCTCCTAAAACTTTTTCTGGCTTGGGAGGTAACGCCGGTTCTTTGTGGTTGTGAGCTTGAGGTTCAGGGTTTAAGGTATAGGAATCAAAGATTTAGGGTTTGGGGTTTGGGAGTTTAGGTTTTGGGGTTTAGCGTCGTTTTGGGTTAGGTTTCAAGCATTCTTAGGTTTTGGCAGCTGTGGTGGTTTGCGAGGTTTAAGGACCTCAAAGTTCGAGGGGTTGGGGTTTTGGATTTTTCGGGCTCAAGGTTTGGGGCATTTAGGGTTTTGGATTGTTGTACAGGAAGCTTGAGGGTAAGCGCCCGACAAGCACATAAGCCCCAACCATTAACAAAATCCTATAGAATCCTAGAAAGACCCTATAAAGACTAAGCAAGCCCAAAAGCCCCTATGATACCAAACTGAAGGAATACCTTTTGGCAACAATCCAAAACCCAAACCTGGTACCATAGGGGCTTTAAATAGTTACCACTAGTAGTGCTAGGGTTCCTTATTATGGGCCCCAAAACCCGATTCTAATTATTAAGGCCTCCATATTAGTCAGAGTCTTCATCACATCTCAGAGACTCTCGCCCCTAGTTGCCCCGGATCATGATCTGTTTGGAGGGTCGTCAGGATCCGACCACCGTCACTAGGAGACAGCTCTTCATACTGGGGATTTCCCTTACTGTAAACACTGCACCGTGACCCATAAACCCAGAACCCTAAACCCCTAAACCCTGAATCCTAAGCCCCAAACCTTGAACCGTAAGCCCTAAACCCAACACCCTGAACTCAACCCAAAATCCTGCCTAACGCGGAGTTTTAGAGCCCAGTGCTTGAGGCTTCGGATCTGAGACCACCACCGAGGGCGATCCAACGTGCGACCTCTGGGGAAAGGGCATTCTGCCAGTAGGTCTTTTGGGTGTGAGGGGCTCTAGGGTTCAGGGCTTCAGAACGTAAGCTTTAAGGGTTGGGGCTTCGAAGAGAGAGGCTTTAGGGCTTAGGGGGTTTAGGGTTTCGGACTGTCGCATGTAGGCTTTAGGGCTTCAGCGTTTAGGCTTTAGGCTGTAGGGATTAGCGTGTCGGATTTAGGGTTTAGCCTTAATAATTAGACTGCGATATTTGTGTGGTTGTGCATTGCCTGGGTACTTAGGAGCCCTATGGAATGCCAGGACTCTCATGATTCCGGCAACTCTTGTTGTCCGTGTCGTCGAACTGTTGTTTTTGATGTGTTCTTCTAATGGGTGACGTCGAGATCAGCATTATCACTTGAATCCGTTATCAATGTTTAGATGTTGTCAAGCATTTCTGCAAAAGGATGGCGATGACGATTGTGACTACTGCCTTCGAACATACGAATTGGCAGGTTACTAAGCCTGAAAGTGTTAAATTTCAATATTACTGCCTTTAGAGGGGGATAAAAAAAATCTACTGGAATTTAGGTTTTGGCAATGGCTGCAAGCTGAAAAAGAAACCGATCAAGCACATGTGCGCTTCGGAAGACTTTTCTCTTGTTGCTCGCATTTTGGTCGACGACCGGGTCCTCCATTTCAGGAGTAGTGTTCCTCTGCTAACTCTGCTATGCAGAGGCGTCTGGTGTCTGTGTGTCAGCACCACTGTTTGTAGGCTTTTTCAGCAGATTTAAAAAATCTTTTTCTTGTTTTTCAAAGTCTTTGTTTCAGCAGTTTTTTTAAATTAAAAAAAATATTTTTCACATTCTTCATTCCAGCAGATTTTTTTTATGAAAAACAAATATTTCTTTTATTTTTTCAAAGTCTTTATTTCAGCAGACTTTTTTTTATAAACTTTTTCCAAAAGTTTTCATTCCAGCAGATATTTTTGTTTATAAAACTTTTTTTGGTTTTTTGTTTCAAAATCTTTGTTTCAGCAAATTGTTTGATAAATTTTTTCAAAATCTGTATTTCAGCAATTTTTTTTATAGAAAAAATATTTTTTCAAAATCTGTATTTCAGCAGCTTTTTTGTAAAAAAAAAGTATTCTTTTTACGTTGTTTCAAGTTCTTCGTTCCAGTAGATTTTTTTAATAAACTATTTTTCTTATTTTTTCAAAATCTTTATTTCAGCAGATTTTTTTTTATATTTTTTAAAATTTGTACCAAATTCTTCTTTCCAGCAATTTTTTTCATAAAAAAAACATTTTTTATTTTTTTTGTTTCAAAATCTTTATTTCCGCAGATTTTTTATTTAAAAGAAAATATTTTTTTCTGCACAAACCTTTATTTCAGAAAAAAAACAGCAATTTCAGATTTTTTGTTTATAAAAAAAATATTTTTTTATTTTTTCTGCACAGACCTTTATTTCAGCAAAAAAGCCGCAATTTCAGATGATTTTTTTATAAAACAAATCTTTTTTTTATTTTTTTCTGCACAGACCTTTATTTCAGCAAAAAAACCGTAATTTCAGAGGATTTTTTTTATAATTTTTATTTTTTTTATTTTTTTCTGCACAGACCTTTATTTCAGCAAAAAAACCGTAATTTCAGAGGATTTTGTTTATAAAAAAAATCCTCTGAAATTAAGGCCTTTTTGAAAAATTCACACTCTAAAAACAGTGCCAAAAACCCCAAAACACCTGAAATTCATTCAGAATCTAGAGTGCAGATAGCGAATCAGCACTCTATTTTCTGATACAAATTCAGGTTTTGGAGGTTTTCTGCATCAAGATTTAGAATGTGATTTTTTCAAAAAGGCCTTAATTTCAGAGGATTTTTTTTATTAAAAAAATCCTCTGAAATGCTGAAATAAAGGTCTGTGCAGAAAAAATAAAAAAAAAAGATTTTTTTTTATAAAAAAAATCATCTGAAATTACGGTTTTTTTGCTGAAATAAAGGTCTGTGCAGAAAAAAATAAAAATAAAAAAAATTTTATAAAAAAAATCATCTGAAATTACGGTTTTTTTGCTGAAATAAAGGTCTGTGCAGACAAAAATTAAAAAAAATAAAGATTTTTTTTATAAAAAAATCTGCTGAACTATTTTTTTCAAAAAAAAACCAAAAATGCGTTTATAAACTGATCTGTTGAAACACAGATTTTCGAAACATAAAAACAAAAAGTATTTAAAATAACTGCCAAAGTAAATGCGCAGCAAAAAAATCTTTCCCTTATAAAATGAATTGCTGGCACTGCTGTAATAAGAAATATCAGAAAAACATGAACATTATTTAAAAAAGGCTGCTAAGGTAAGTTAGAAAGACTATGTAAAATCTGCCAAAGTAAAGATTTCAATAGTTTTAGATTTAACAATAACATTTACCGTGACAAATCTTTCGTGTAAACAAAAAGATGCTTTCTATCAGACAACAAACTGTTTCTTTCACAAAATTCTGCCTCAGGAAATGTCTGCCGATAAAATGTATGTTGTCACATAGAATGACGAGTTTTCTGCTGAAGCATAGTTTTGATTCCGCTATGTTCCTCTGCAGAGAAGATTTCTCCTTATCTTGCAGGCAAGACAAACCGTGTTAAGCTTAAGGCAAAGGACTACGGTCCGGCATTCAGCTGTATGTAAAAACAAAGGCGAGCTTTTTTCTGTTTCAAGTCCTTTTTTCTTGACACACAATGAAGTCAGAAGGAATGTGGCAAGGGACTGCGTAGGAAAAATCAAGCACCAGTCGGGATGCTAAATAGCAGCAAGAAAGCATCACCGGGTATTCCAAGCAGAGGTTTATGATAGATCTGGGACAGAGCTACCTACCCGTGAAAGGACTCAACATGGATGATTGCCTTTAGACGCACTGTCCAACCAGGCACCTCGTACACAAGCAACCTTCGCAAGAAGCTTAATTTCAGCAGATTTTTTTATGACCTGAATATTGAAATTTAACACCTGAAACCAAAAGCTTGGACCCTAAGCTCAAACCCAAACCCTCGGCCCAGACCCTGAAGCCAAACACGAGACCCTAAAACAACCCCAAAGGCCGTACCATTACGAGGACTCGCCAACCTACCCACAATGGTCCCCCAAACAGTCGGTAGAGTACCGGGGTGTCGCAGAGGGTACTTGGACTTAAGCGCTCGAAACCCAGGGGCTGCGCAGTTTGGAGGCTCCTCGGTCTTGGGGGGGGGAGGTCCTTCCTTTGCAGATTCTCGGGTCCCTGCAGACAGCTCCTCTTCAAGCTGCATACGGTTCCTTCCTTCATGGGGTTTAAGGTGAAAAAACCCATTAAAAAACAGCCCCTTAGACTTTAAAAAACCCTACACTGCCCGACACACCAAAAATCAGCCGAAGCCTCACACCCCGAACCATTACACAGTGAACACCCCCATAATCCCTCAACCCAACTCCCCTAACACACTGAAACCCCCAAAACCAATCGCTCACGGAAGGCCCGAAATCTTAACCTTTTGACATTCGGAGAACTCTCCAATACCCGACCAACGACGTATAAAAACCATGCAAGAACGAAAGATCCGTGTCATACCCAATAAAGTCCTGAAAACCCACATGACAACAACATGAACCAGCATTTAGTATGTCACCCTATAAACACCTCAGATCTCGAAGCCCTCTGAGGGGATGGCGAGGACATCGGCGCAGACTCCGGCATCGGAGGTGGAAAGGCGGCTTCTGGAGGCCTCGGTGTGGGATTTTGTCGGAGATTTGGAATCTTTTAATGGGGGGGTTTCGGGTTTACTTAGGGCGCTTAGGGTTTAGGGTTCACGGTTGATTTAGGGGCTTAGGGTTTAGGGTTTAGGCCTCGGTTTGGGTTTGTCAGAGATTTACATGTCTGGGTTTAATAGGGTGTTACAGGGTTGTTAATAGGGGCTTTTTAAGCTTGCAGGAATTGTAAATTCTGTTCTCGTGTCTTACTGAAGGGTCCTGTGTACTAGTCTAGGGTTTAGTGCTTACTTAGCGTTTCGGGAGCCTCCAGATTCGCACCCTACTTGCAGGATCCTTGGCAGTAGTTTAGGAGCGTAGACCATACAGTATGTAGGGCTTGGTATTGCAGCATTAAGGCATGCAAGCACACCTATTGCTTAAACAACTTTGAATCTTAGAATGATGTGAGGAATATTGATGGATGAAGAGATTCAGATACTCGCGGGCTATATGGGTTTAACTTTGACGGCTCGCGCCGTTTACTAAACCAAACTTTACCCTGACACACTTGCAGCCCTTGAGGCTCTAATCCCTAAGACTGCAATCCTCGAGTCGAGACTGCAAAAGGCCCAAAGCCATACTAGACCAATGAAAAAAGCATCTACGACCCTAAACCACCACGACAACGAGACCCTTGGAATAGAAACCTTGGAGACCTGAAGCCATATCTACCTAAACCCCAAACCCCGAACTCTAGGTCCCGCGCGCTTCTTCCATAAGTGCGGTCGGAGCTGTAGGCGGAGGTGCTGTGGTGATCAACTCCTCGCGGGGGACATGGTGGGCCGTTTGGCAGTCAGAAATTGAGGTTAAGATCTCAGTCAGGTCGCACTAGGTTTAGCGAGAAGAGGGTATCGCCGACAAGATCCGTAGTAAATGCATCGTTTTCCGTTTTCCGAGCAGCCATGACGATCATCAGTAACTGTAGTGTTCAGCAGTGGTTGTGTAGTTGCACTAGAAACAGGACTGTGTAGTCAGGCCAGGACATGATACTGCTTGTAGGTTTTGCTGGTACTGCTGCTACTTTTCCTTCCTGCGTAGTAGTCCTGCAATGCTTATGCTAACACTGAGAATCTTGCCAATTTGCAGTTGGCCTTTTGATCCACACCCCCAGCCCTTAAATGGCCCAGAGCCCAGCTCCATGGTAGATGCAGAGGTGGCATGGAACAGAACACAACTCGTTAAAACCATCTACAGGAACACATAAATCCCCATGACACACGTGACCAACATCGTCGCTGCCGCCATCACAACAATCATCATCAGCAGCAGCAGCAAGATCACGCTGATCATCATTGTACTACGGCAGACTCGCATGTCGTGCAATGCTGCAAAACACAATCACTGTAGCTACTGTATGCAGGTTTGATAACAATGAGACTGGCAGAAACGATGGCAAGTGTAAGTAAATGAAAAGTCTAGAGCTGAAGACAGTGAACAAGGGTTTTTTCGGGGTTGTGCAAACCTACGAGTTTCCTGTAAGGGTCGCTTCCACGCCTCCTAAACTGGATCTTTACGAAACAGGATGATTTATGTTGGTCTTCCTTTTCTAGGCTTGGCACTGCCGAATAGTCAATCCCGACAGGCCTCGAAAGAACCTTTGAACTAAGCCTACTGCCAGCTTCAACTGTCGAAGGATAGGCCTCAGCAGTTGGCATGGGCTCTGACACTGCCGACCTCACATCAACGGCATTCAGGGTTTAGGTTTAGAGGTTAGAAGTTTCAGGAGTTCGCGATTCGGATTTTAATGTTTTACGATTTTGGGGTTGAGGGATTAGGGCTTCAGAGCTTGAGGGTTTAGGCGGCATTCAGGGTTTAGGGCAAGACCATGCAAGACCATGTAGGGTTTCTGATGCGTCGCATTGTACGGCGTCGACTGCTATGAAGCAGATGTCTTGCTGCTTGGTGCCTTTGCGCGGTTTGCCGAACACGCCCTGCTGTTATCTGGACTGCATCCTTTGCACGGCATCAACGTGTCAGAGGTGCCCAGGGCCACCAGGGTGGCGGTCATTCACGTAAGAAGGGATAACAGCAGCTTGATTGTAGGTTTGGTAGGCTGCACCGGCTGACTCGCCTTTAGGGCGATATACTTCTCACGTCTTTGCAGAGCTGCTTTACGAGTTCCGCAAAGGTGCACCGACCTTGGCTTTCTGCTGAGACTCGCCTCGCTGACACATACGCCGAGTACGTTGTGTGAGGATGTGTAAGGCTCCAGGGCAAACTAATCGATCAAACGCGTCGCTTCTCAGAGGAACCGTCGCTGATTGCTAATCGCATTTCACGGAAAGGTCTTCAGAGTGCGCACGTGAAGTTCCCTTTTCAGACTTCAGACTACAAACTGAAAGAACCACCTTCAAGAAGTATCCTTTCAGCTGCTCTGTCATAAACAGCTATGCAAAGTGTACGTTACTTCGAGAACAGGCTGGAAACGACAAATCTCTTTGCTATGCATTGCCGGCCCTCCATCCGATTTCGAACTTCAAAAGGCAACATTTATCAAGCTCAACGGTGTTTGGGTTCCGAAGCAAGCTCTTCTTCGCGCGTCGGGTTTGGATCTGTGTGTTTGGGTTTACCGTCCGAACAAGTCTCAACCCTGCTGGATCTGGTATCAGCGGTTATCGGAAAGGGCGACACCCCAAAGTTTGGCAGAAATGCACGCCTGTCGCCAGTAACTTCCAAGAGCTGACGGAGACAGTCATCAACAGCTACAAGCATGAACCCCAGCCCGAAACCGTGAACCCTAAACCCTCGACCCTGAACCTAAGGTGTAGAACCAAAAAAACACACCAGCTGTGGGCTGGACGTCGGCGACGGGAGCTCTGTCGGGACCTCGAAATCTGTGTTGAAGTAGGGTCTTAACACGGTGCAGTCTTCTTAAAAGCTCAACCTTAAACCCCATACCCCAAACCTAAAACCATCCTTAATGGGGAGACCCCAGAACGCAAACGGTACAAGGTCACTCCTGGATCACGTAGGGTCTTCACGCAAGGGGATCTTACGGTGTAGAAATCAGGCTTTAGCGTTTCTAAACTCAGGTCTTGAAGGCTTAGGGCCCGTGGCTTGGGAGACCGTTTTGTGCTGTTGGACTGATCTGTGCAAGCCTAGCCCTGCTGTTTAGGAATGCCTGAGTCACACGAGCGGATATATCTCAGAGCGTCGGCGAAGGAACCAACGTGCCTTTGCCATGTTCTTGGCCGCAATTTCTGGGACAAACTCCCAGTCGCCACTGGCCTGCGCTTCCTTCAAAAGTTCCTTGACCTCATCTCTTTCTGCGAATCGCGCAGGCCACGTCTCTCAGGAGATTTTGCCGCATCACGTTAGGTCGCTCGGGGTCCCTACTGTGCAGTGCGGCAAGACGACCATGGTGCCGAAAAAGGCAGGCCGGTATGAGCTTAGGGCTACGGGTGGAGGCTCTCGGCTGAGGGCTGAGGGTTGCTGCAGAGTTCGAAGGTGCCGGGTGTAGGGTCCCGGATTAGGATTCAACCCTTAGTTTTCAGGTTTAAGACACAATTGCTAGAATGATGTCAATCTTTACAGTCGCATGCATGACCCACTCGGGGCAGCGTGTCTTATCCACATGTATGTAGGCGTACCGCTGCGTCTCCAAAGTACCTGGAATATCAAACTATCGGGCCTTCACACTGGAAACAAGGTTTTTGCGTATGTTCTGGTAAGCAAAAGGAGATTCAAGGTTTTTTGTTGTTTTATCTTCTCGTTCGGCTCCCTTCACCGCCCCGTTAGTTGTGGTCTTGGGGAATCTGCAATTCTACGCCTCAGCTCCTATCTAGTAAGGCATACCAACTAGTAGACAGCAAAAACCCTGTTCCAATGATTGACGCGCCTAAACCCTACAAACCCTAATTGAACCTCACAAAACTCTGCAAACAAGCTAAACCCCTACAAACCCTAATTGAACCTTGCAAAACCTCCGAAAACACACAACCAAACCCGAAGTAAGCCTTACACGAACCCCATTCAAAAAAATTGGAAAACACGACGTCTGAGCTTTCGACCGGCATGTCCGTGGGCGATCGGAGGGCCTGGCCGGAGCTGGACCTGACTCCGAGCCCAAAATCTGAGAGTTTCCGAAAATTGGGGACCCTAATATAGTACCCTAAATAGTAGGATCCTTTTTATCAGGACCCCCATAATATGGTACCCCTTATTTTCGGAAACTCCCATCTACGGGGCGACTATAGGGGCCTTGTATAAGGTTTCTTCTCTTACAAGAGGTCTAGAAGGGCTACTATAAGGGTTTAGTATAAGGGCCTTAATAATGAGAATAGGGTTTTTGGTGCCCATTTAACTGTGATTCTACGAAGGAACACCGAAAATAGTAGTAGTAATTGTTCCCATGTTAGAAGTTGAAGGTGGAAGGTTTTAGGTTAAGGGCAGTTTAAGGTTTAAGGATTATGTAGTGTATAGGACTTAGGGTTTGAATGTCGAAGGCTTTGGATTCGCGGGTTTGGTCCTGTGATCTACGGATGTCATGCGAATGCAGGGTGCTGGGTCTTGTTTAGCTATAGGGATACTTGAGCACGGCGTGGGAGCATGTGTGTTTCTCCCGTTTGCTCATCGTGGCTGTTTGGAGCCGTAGGTTTGGGGTTAAGGGGCTTCAAGGTTACATAAAAGATTTACAGACCCCATTTGCCTCCGCCCTAAACCCAATGCAGTATCACAGCAGAACCAACTGTTTTCTGAAAAGGTCAGCCAGAACAACTCGTCTCTACAGAGACACCTTCAAAAAAGGAAAACCAGAAAACACACCCGAACCTCAACCTATTACAAAGCCTTACATGGGCAGCTTACTGGTCAGTGTATCTATAAATATTATATATATACATATATATATATACACATTAATTACATTATTGATACAAAAACGATGTACAATGGGAAATATAATAGGGTTCTGAGGTATACTACGGCGGAATTGAGTGCAGAGACTAGCGTTTTGTTTATCATCCAAACCTATGTGTTAAATCGCAGAAGCAGCAAATTGAGGGTTTCTCCTCACAAGTGTCCAAACTTTAAACCCAACAGCCCGAATCAATGAAGCCGAAAACCATAAACCCAGCCTCAAAACCGTGAACCGCCAAACCCGAACCCTAAGACCTAAACCCAAAGCGTCCTGAGGCTGTGACATGAAAGCACTCTCGCCGACTGCGGAGGCGAATGGAACCTGGAACAGTTTCGCGAGCATCAGGCAGTCGAGGGGTTCACCCTAGACCCAGACTCCCGAAGTATATACCTAAGAAGCTTTGATTCATTGTCGACGGATCCAGAGCCCCAAACTCTCTGAGGTTATGTTGAGAGCTAGTGTGGCCTGAAGTCATCTAACAACTTTCCCGAAACAAGAAACCCCCTGGGGTTTGGTATCAGCTGCAACGCCCGAAACCCCCAAACTTCTGCGAAGCTACACACTTGTCACAACTAACCCCCACAATGGCGCAACGAACTGGGTTGCTCGTGCCGGCCTTCAATGACAGTGGTACCTTCACACTAACACACTTATACCCTTATGCCCCAAAAACAAACCCTAAAACCCTAAATCCGTAAAACCACCTGCGACCAGACCACATTTAAACATACTGGTAGTAGCAATAGCAGTAATAATAGTCTTAGTAACAGTAGTAATACTCATAAGAAGAAAAGCAATACTCAGAATAAGAGGAAGGCTTTGAATACTAGTAAGAACAATGGCATGAAGCCCAAGCCCTCATGAACCCCGAACCCCAGGCCCGAAACCTAGGCCTAGACCCGGACCAGAGGTCCCCTTCTCGTGTATCCCGAAGGGTTTCTGAATCCCGAGTTCAAGGAAGCCAAAAGCCCAAATTCGAGGTTCAAGGGTCCTTTTCGGCTTCAGGGCATTTGTTTTGCAGCTAACTTCAATGGTATGTCTACCAAGACCAATTCTCTTGGCCTGATCATTGATACACTACGTAGTTAGACGTGGTTTAAGATTTAGGATTTTGCTTCTCTTTCGAGGGTTTAAGTTTGGCCTTTCAAAAACTTCAAGCAGACCCGAAAACATCCGAGGAGGCCGGTAACCTTAACACCGGAAAGGGCTTTAAGGCCCACATCAAAACCGCAAACAGGAACCCACATGGGAGTTTCCGAATATTATGGGGGACCCTCATTAAGTCCCTTAATAGTAGGATCCTTATTATAATGACTCCAAAATAAGGTACCCCCTATTTTGCGGAAACTCTCGCATAGCAACCCCGAAGCAATCGCTGGGATGGGCACGTCGACCTCCAGTTCATCTCTAGGCGCCTCACAGGGATGACTTAGGGCAACGTTCAGGGGGCTCTCTATAATTAGAAAAGGGTTTTGCGGGTTCCTTAACGTATTGTAGAATGTACCGCCAAACCCTATTCTAATGATCAAGGCTCCCGTGGTAAACACCCCTAGACTTTACAGGGGATCCTTCGAGGCTTCTGAGAGGTTCCATTCCAAGGGTACGAAGAGTATGTACGGGTTTTGGGTCTAGGGGTTAAGCGGTTTCCGGGGCTTTAGCTTGAGGACTCGGGGTTCAGGGTGCCGGTTCGAAACCTGATTCTGCGGGTGTGGGGCCAGGGATTGGCGTCGACCTTGCAGCACCTACCGGTTTTGTAGTACGACGTGAACATGAGTAGGTTGGATCCCCAGAAAAATCAGAGTAGCGCAGCAAGGCTCAGCCGAAAGTCGTGTTGAGCTTTTTTTGCATTCAACGAATAACACCTACGAACTCTCAGTTCTCTTGAGGACTGCAACGTCGTAAACCGGCAACTGTAGACGCATCAAGCCCCAAACGCAAAACCTTGAACCCCACTTACAAAACCCTAGTTCCATCTTCATCTTCCACTACGAGATCGGTGGGGTCCTCCGCCGCGCTGAAGCGGATATATCAGCACATGACAGAGACTATGAGTAGGTATGCACAGGATTGGCTGTGGCCGTGCAGCGCACATGAGGAAGGTGTGAGGTTTAGGGAAGGATATTCCTAAGGCAGGCTTTAACGGTAACGACTTTTAAATAGGTTCACCAGTAACCCCTTGGAGCATCTTTCTAAGCCGCAGCCACCCCAGACCAAAGCTGGGATGTTGCCTGATCTTGATGGGTCCAAATCGTAGTCCGTGAAATGTAAACACTCGACCCTGCGCAGAATCATTCCCATTCGGCTGGCCTTCAGCGTGGGGGGTACGATCGTCTGGGTGGGCCTTTGCAGAAGGTGAGGCTCAGGGTCTGGATTTGGCAGTTTAGACCAAAACCCTCAGCCAAAAACCTTAAACCCGAAACCCTAAACCCTAACCCCAAGCACCTAGAGTTGAGGTAGTTTGTAATTTGCATGTGTCCGATGTTCGGGGATGAGTTCGCAGGCTGGTTAAATGGTAGCAACATCGCCTTGCCGTCCCTACATAGATATACTAAACGTACCCCCAAGCCCTTTGAATGTTCAACGCAGCCCCCTTGTCTTGAGCATTAAGATTTGCTTGGAGCCTGGAGCGTTCGCCTCTCGCTCCACGGTCGGCATTGCGATCAGCCCGCTCATTGCCCGTGACGCCAGTGTGCCCATAGACGAGTCGCCAATGCACGGCCCGGAGACCCGTCACCTGAGTGACAAGGTCTTGCAGCGTTTGAATGAGCTGTATATTGCTGCGAGGGCACCACTGACCCGTCGCCATCTTGTAAGCGTAGACGCTGTCGTAGTGTATGGTGACCGGGCCCTTGTAGTTGGTGCCGTACAGTAAAAAGCGCATAGTCTGTCCCAACGCTGTGAGCTCGGCAGTGTTGTTTGATCCAAGAGCGGCTCCCATAAAGTAGTTATAATGGTACCCCATTCCTCCATTCCCTACTAACCAAAGGTCAGACTTCGAGCGTCAAACCATCCCCAAGTGCAACGATCTGCATCGGGGTGAGCCCTACTTAGTATGTCCCCATATGTCCTCCACTTGCCCCAACCCCGCAACCCCCCAGCAAGCACTAAAGCCTCAACAGCCCAAAGATGCATCGCATAGAGGTCTGAATAATCAGACACCTGCATGATAACGGAACCGGTGTTCCTATTAAGCAGTTTCGATGAGAGCGTACGAGAGCCCAGGATAAACGCGGGCACAAAAGTTATACTGACGGATCTAGACTATACTACACTGTACATCACAAGAACCTTCTTCTCGGTATCAAGGCCCCTGGAACCTTCAAGACCCTGAACTCTATTCAACCCTCTAAGTAGACGGTACAGGAACCAGCAAGCTGCCAACCCCCTCCCGAGGCACTCAGCCCTAAAACCGGGAAACGCTCCAAACCCACAGACGCCCCCAACAGCCCATGAAGAACTTCAGCCGTGCGTCTTTGTCGGTTTTTCTTCTCTTAGTTCAGGCTTCTGCAAGGGGGGGGGGGGGCGGGGCATCGGCTTCGAAGTACGAAATTGGAGATTTCCTGGTAGATACATACTGCACCCCTCACATGAAACCCTCGAGACCTTCTTGACACGAACCTAGACCTCCGACAGACAAAGTTTCAAAAAGGGATTCCTTATGCGTCCCGAGCTCGGGCAACCATCACTTGCGTTGCTCCCTACACCAATTTCCCCAAGAACTCAAGGAACTGAAAGGCTTCCCCAAGAACTCAGGGAGCTGAGAGGTTAAGTTCTCAATCTCAATTTCGTGCTACATAGCCACAAGACTAGTCGCCCGTAACGTTCAAGGGTCGGTTGGACCTTGCAGGGTTAAAAAGCCACACACTAGAGTTCAGTGAACACGTGACTTTCCCTGACCTCCCAAAACCTAAACCCCAAACGCTAAACCCCTTAAGCCCCAACCCCAAACCCCTTAAACCTCCGGATTCCAAGGCAGCAGCAAGGTCCCGATTTCCTGGGCCACCGTATCCGCCTCGACCAAAATTTAAGGTTTACAGTCAGTGCACGTATCGCTGGGCGGGGGATGCCGAGAAAAGGGGTTATGTGTTTTTGCTATGGCCCTGCGGTTTGGCACCAGCCTCAAGAATGGTCCCTGCATGAACTTCGCGAGTTGACTACACTTAATGGGGTGCACGGGCGGTGTGGTCTGGGGCGACTTCCCTGGGAAAGTGGCGCTTGCACATACTTCAATCCAGTCAGGAAGCTGCATGCCATGCCTCTTGCCTTGGCTTAAGACCAAGCCGCAGAGAAAACAAGCCAGAACGTCTTACCTCCGTGGGGGTTGGGTACATACTTCTCGCATACTACATACAACTCGCGAAACAAGCCGCATATCCACGCAGGTGAAGGGCAGTCCTGCAATCCATCCCATCACGAAAACCCATGCGGGCCTTGAATGCAGCCGGAACTCCGGTAGAGCCATGCTCGGGTGTAGAGTTGTAGGGTCTTGGGTGAGCCGGTACTAGAGACCGGGAAGTTTCCGATGTGGTCGTTTGAATGTGGTGTCTTGGAGGCTGGCTAAAAAGCCAGGATTACACGAAGGATGTTCAAGACGTTTGTAGGTCTGCCGCACATAGCTACCAAGGATCCGCGAGGTTTGGGACCCGGGTATCAGGGCATACACAATCCGAACAGCATCTCTGGTTCAGTCTCACGCCGGGGTATTCTCAAAGGTGGTGTCCTGTCTTTACACTGTAATGAACTATCTGCAGGCTGTGTAAAGACCTTTGATGTCCCCAAAACCAAGAATCCTGAACTCGGAACCCTAAACCTCGGAACCCTAGACTCTGAACCCTCACCCCGATAAGGTGGACCGAAATGTATCACGATGCCTCCTCTTGCACAGCTCCCAGAGAGGTGGGTGAGGGCACTTCAGTTGGAACTGCGATTTCCTGGCGTCGGTAGAGTATAGTCGAATTAGATAGCGACTACAACGGGAGGGTTATTACTAAAGTGCTCATAACAGGGGAAGAGCTTCGGTGGTGAGGGCACAAGGTCAAGCAAAGATTAATATAAGGGCTTAGTAGTTAGAATAGGGTTTTGGGGCCCATTATACTATAATCAAAACAATGACTTATTAATAAGGAACCCCCAAAGTATTATGGGTACTTACTTAAGCCACTATAGTATGCTTCAAGTTCGGGGTTCAGTGGCAAGTTGCTTCTTCAAAGCTTCAGGGTTTAGGATTGTGGGTTTGGGGTTTTGGGCCCACGAGGTCTAGGGCTTACTCACATATAACAGCATGCTTTACACTGCAAGGAAGGATCCCCACGGTAAGACCCCCTAAAATGTGCTCTCGCCAGTGTTCTTGGGCAGCCCTGTCCGCGCTCACCACCATCCCCGCTACCAATCCTAAGACAGCTGAGAGCTTCTGGCAATGCGGGGTCAAAAGATAGAACCTAACCAGGAAATAGCAGGATCCGTAAGACAGACTCCTAGCTAAGACACCCCTACTTCCAAGAAGCCCGCATGCAACCCTAACCCTCACAAAACCACAAAACAATGTAAGGAAACCTCCATGGAAGCATAAAGCCGAGGGCTGCAAAATCGTCAGTCTTCGGCAGATTATCGATCTGTAAAGTGCAACACTTTTCGGTTTGCGGGTCTTTCAAGGGTTTAGGGTATCGATTTTCGGGTTGAGAGCTGTGGGTGGGTGTTGGCTTGGGGAAATTTGACAGGTTAAGGCAACCCTACAAGGTTCCATTGTCGAAGATGTCAAGCCCTCATACCTTGAACCCTGAAATACGCTATGGCCCTGTGAACCCGTCAAGCCCGAAGCTTATGACCGTAAAATCTTAAAGCCTAAATGGCCTAAGCCGTAAAGCCGCAAAAATTACGAATCCTGAAGGTCTGAATAATCAGGTACCATATCCCCAACTGGTCCATATCTTACAGTGACCCGAATGTAGGGGCCCAAGGAGGCAGACCTGGGTTCTGGAGAGTACACTCAAACATGGGGACTTTTTTTTAAATTCAGAGGAAAACATTACTAGGGTTTAGGGTTTAGGGCTTATACTAAATCCCTAAACCCTCAAACCCTGAACAATAAACCCCGAAACCCAAACCCTAATCCCCAGACCTCATACTACTAGGTTCCTGAGTAGCCCCTTTATCTTAAGGGTACCCTGAGTGGACCCCAAAAACAACAGGAAAAAGGGTATCACTCAGGGCCCCAGATTGCTGTTCCTGCCCCTTGGAGGATCGAACCCATACCGTCTCTGGGGTCTTGGCTGGTAGTTCGGTGGGAGAGCGCGCCGACTCAGACCTTGCAGTTTAGGGCCTTAGGGCTTTAAGGGTTGGGCAGTCCTTCCTGTAAGTAAGGGTTCGAGGGGATAGTATTTGGGGCCATCGGATTTGGGAGCTTGGGGTTTTGGGTTCACAAATTTTCGTTGGTTGGGGGACTTTGGATTTTGAAGATTTGGGGGTTTAGGGATTTAAGGCCGTTTCGGGTTTTTACGCAGCCTAGAGTTTAAAGTTTCAGAGGCTCGCGCGTTCCGGCTTTAAGATGCTGACCCAATGTATATGGCTCTCATTTGAGAACTGACGCTATTGGAATTGATTTAGAACCTTACTGAAATTTTGAAGTTAGGGCGTCAGGGTCTCGGGACTTCTGGCTAAGATCTGAGCATCTTGTTCGGAAACTCCACTCCCGAAGCCCTGCCTACTTGGAAGTGCTGGGTTAGGCTATAACGGTTTAATAAGTCTAGTGAGTCTAGTAGGACCCCTTAGACTGCTTACGGCGGCAGGGCTCTTAACCCTTACTTAGCCTAAACAGATCCTGAACACTAAACCCAAAAGCCGAGACCCTGAACCTCAATTAGAAGTTCTCCAAAGCAGATTGTGTTTGGACACTATCGCAGCAAGAGTTTTGCCAGTAGCTCGGCTTTCCAGTTGCTAGGGTCCATAGAGGCTTTGTCGACAAGATAGGGTCCGGAGAGTAAGCCCCCGTACAAACACCTAAGATCCTCCAACAACACGTTTAGGGTGTTAGGGCCTGTTAGTGTTGAGGGTTAGGTGCCAGGGTTCAGGATCAGGGTTTGGGGTCGAGGGTTAAGGGCAGCAGTGAAAGGACCTGCAGTCCTTGAGAATTGCAGACATATCATCATATAACTGCCTTTCCAACCTGTTGCCGTCTGAGCCAATAGCCCAAAATCCTTTTTGTGTAGCCCAGAGTTCTATACCCTAAACCCTAAAGCCTATGGACCCCCAGAACTCCAAACGGAGGCCGCAAAGCCGTGATTCAATCACTGCAGCCTTACAGGCATCATCATCAGCATAGCGAGTTACATGCCAGGAGCCAAGAGAGCAAGAGGGTATACAACGAATTTGCCAGGCCTAGCTCAAACCAAAGCTAGGATTGCTGGGATCCCAGCTTTACGGCCCTAAACCCCTCAACCTTCCAGCCTAAGAGCCTGGCGGCACCTAGGGGTGGAACGATACATCTACCACAAGCATCGCCAAACCTACTCTAAGTAGCGATGGGGTTCAGGGTTCGGTTACTTGCAGAAACATAACGAACTAAAACTGTTCGATTACGGAATAACTGGGACTCAGGTTAAATGTAGGCACCAACAAATCGAAACGTAGTGGAGAGCTATCAGGCGCGGTTTGGGGCTTACTGGAAGGCTTAGTGGACTTTGTAAGTGGGCGTTATCATCTATAATGTCGTGATGGGTACAAGGGTATTTATTACCACCATAACCCGCGATTAGCGGACTTTTGACCGGCTTTCTAAATAATCTACTTGGTGAACAATCAGCCTCTGAAACAACAATAGACCCTGCAATACCAGCCCAAACCCCTCAGACAAATACAGGGATTTTAGAAGGTTATGCAACGCTGTCTTTGCGGGCATTCGGGGTGCTGGGTGTAATTAGGCTTCGGCCTTTGAGTTGGGTTTTCATGTTTGCATGCTAGGGCCAACAAGTGTTTACATGGTCTCCCAACTGCGAAGGACTGAAGATGAGGCTCTGGCAATGCGCCGCTTGCGTCGAGTGCTGACTCGTACGGTGCCGGTACCTGCAGCGAAGACTCTGCAGCAGGAACCTCTCATACATAGGTTGGGTGTGCACCCTGGATATCCTGCTGCTGAACACCTACTTTCAAAGTCCTACGCTCACTCCTTACTCTTCTCCAACCTGTGCCTTTGAAAACTTCGAGGATGGTTGCGGACTTTTCTTGCCCAGAGTCATAGTTTGCCAGCGCTTGGCTTGAGGCTAGCTTCGAAAATTCGGTGAGACCAACCACATACTAACTGGAGCAACTAGAGCAGGGACGTAGGAAAAACGCAGCAGAGACATGGTAACAACTAAGACAGCATCTCACAGCTCATCCTCGCAGTGGGTCTTGATGGTGACGTCGGACGTGGCGTACGTCACGCCTGGGCTGTTCTAGTTCTTCAACCTTGTAAGCTATTATCCTAGAGGTCATTCCCTTCCGGTATTCTCGTTACAGCCCCTATACACCGACAATACTTTCAGGAAAGACACAGGTCAAGCAGAAGCCCTCGCCGGTCTGGTCATCATCCAGGAAGGCCTGATCGCTCTGGTCAATCTCGCCCTCCAGGACCTTGCCAGCGCAGCTGGAGCAAGAGCCCGCGCGGCAGGAGTAGGGCAGCTCCAAGCCCTCCTCCTCAGCCTGATCCAGGATGTACACGTCCTCGGGGCACTCCTTGGATGCTCTTTGATTGCTCAAGCTCACAGACCCTTCGTCTCGAAAGACTTCCAGCTATGAGGTCAGAAAGGAACTTCAGAACAGAGCCAAGATTCGAAAGATTGCGTGCCATCGGGGGTCTCGAGAGTCACCTTGAAGTGGGCCGGCACACCGGGGCGAGCTGGCACCGTGTTGACGATGGCAGGCACGTTGCCGGAGGCCAGAGCACCGCCCGACAACGCCTGGCAACCCATGTGGACGCTCTGCTGAGGTGCGACAAAGGTCTGCTGGCTTGGTGCCCAGAAGCTGCGAAGCACAGCCACGCAGCATGCGACCGCCACGAGCACTGGCAAGGTGCGACTCTGGGAAGCCATTGCGACCAAACAAGCGACCACTGCTTCCAAGCGTTGTCGTGCAAAGACCCTCCGCGGCTTGAGCAAAAGCCCCGAGCAGGCGAGTGCAAGTGTTGCGTCAAGGAACACGCTGCCTCGAGAATGTAGCTTGTCAACACAATGAGACTTCAGTGGAACAGGCCTGTGCAGACGAGCGCCTACAGCCCTGCTGCTGTCACATTGCGCACTCTTTTCTGCCCCCGGTGGAGAGTTTGCCAGCGCTTGGCTTGAGGCTAGCTTCGAAAATTCGGTGAGACCAACCACATACTAACTGGAGCAACTAGAGCAGGGACATAGGAAAAACGCAGCAGAGACATTGTAACAACTAAGACAGCATCTCACAGCTCATCCTCGCAGTGGGTCTTGATGGTGACGTCGGACGTGGCGTACGTCACGCCTGGGCTGTTCTAGTTCTTCAACCTTGTAAGCTATTATCCTAGAGGTCATTCCCTTCCGGTATTCTCGTTACAGCCCCTATACACCGACAATACTTTCAGGAAAGACACAGGTCAAGCAGAAGCCCTCGCCGGTCTGGTCATCATCCAGGAAGGCCTGATCGCTCTGGTCAATCTCGCCCTCCAGGACCTTGCCAGCGCAGCTGGAGCAAGAGCCCGCGCGGCAGGAGTAGGGCAGCTCCAAGCCCTCCTCCTCAGCCTGATCCAGGATGTACACGTCCTCGGGGCACTCCTTGGATGCTCTTTGATTGCTCAAGCTCACAGACCCTTCGTCTCGAAAGACTTCCAGCTATGAGGTCAGAAAGGAACTTCAGAACAGAGCCAAGATTCGAAAGATTGCGTGCCATCGGGGGTCTCGAGAGTCACCTTGAAGTGGGCCGGCACACCGGGGCGAGCTGGCACCGTGTTGACGATGGCAGGCACGTTGCCGGAGGCCAGAGCACCGCCCGACAACGCCTGGCAACCCATGTGGACGCTCTGCTGAGGTGCGACAAAGGTCTGCTGGCTTGGTGCCCAGAAGCTGCGAAGCACAGCCACGCAGCATGCGACCGCCACGAGCACTGGCAAGGTGCGACTCTGGGAAGCCATTGCGACCAAACAAGCGACCACTGCTTCCAAGCGTTGTCGTGCAAAGACCCTCCGCGGCTTGAGCAAAAGCCCCGAGCGGGCGAGTGCAAGTGTTGCGTCAAGGAACACGCTGCCCCAAGAACGTAGCTTGTCAACGCAATGAGACTTCAGTGGAACAGGCCTGTGCAGACGAGCGCCTACAGCCCTGCTGCTGTCACATCGCGCACTCTTTTCTTGCCCCCGGTGGAGAGTTTGCCAGCGCTTGGCTTGAGGCTAGCTTCGAAAATTCGGTGAGACCAACCACATACTAACTGGAGCAACTAGAGCAGGGACGTAGGAAAAACGCAGCAGAGACATGGTAACAACTAAGACAGCATCTCACAGCTCATCCTCGCAGTGGGTCTTGATGGTGACGTCGGACGTGGCGTACGTCACGCCTGGGCTGTTCTAGTTCTTCAACCTTGTAAGCTATTATCCTAGAGGTCATTCCCTTCCGGTATTCTCGTTACAGCCCCTATACACCGACAATACTTTCAGGAAAGACACAGGTCAAGCAGAAGCCCTCGCCGGTCTGGTCATCATCCAGGAAGGCCTGATCGCTCTGGTCAATCTCGCCCTCCAGGACCTTGCCAGCGCAGCTGGAGCAAGAGCCCGCGCGGCAGGAGTAGGGCAGCTCCAAGCCCTCCTCCTCAGCCTGATCCAGGATGTACACGTCCTCGGGGCACTCCTTGGATGCTCTTGATTGATTGCTCAAGCTCACAGACCCTTCGTCTCGAAAGACTTCCAGCTATGAGGTTAGAAAGGAACTTCAGAACAGAGCCAAGATTCGAAAGATTGCGTGCCATCGGGGGTCTCGAGAGTCACCTTGAAGTGGGCCGGCACACCGGGGCGAGCTGGCACCGTGTTGACGATGGCAGGCACGTTGCCGGAGGCCAGAGCACCGCCCGACAACGCCTGGCAACCCATGTGGACGCTCTGCTGAGGTGCGACAAAGGTCTGCTGGCTTGGTGCCCAGAGGCTGCGAAGCACAGCCACGCAGCATGCGACCGCCACGAGCACTGGCAAAGTGCGACTCTGGGAAGCCATTGCGACCAAACAAGCGACCACTGCTTCCAAGCGTTGTCGTGCAAAGACCCTCCGCGGCTTGAGCAAAAGCCCCGAGCGGGCGAGTGCAAGTGTTGCGGCAAGGAACACGCTGCCCCAAGAACGTAGCTTGTCAACGCAATGAGACTTCAGTGGAACAGGCCTGTGCAGACGAGCGCCTACAGCAGCCCTGCTGCTGTCACATCGCGCACTCTTTTCTTGCCCCCGGTGGAGAGTTTGCCAGCGCTTGGCTTGAGGCTAGCTTCGAAAATTCGGTGAGACCAACCACATACTAACTGGAGCAACTAGAGCAGGGACATAGGAAAAACGCAGCAGAGACAGGGTAACAACTAAGACAGCATCTCACAGCTCATCCTCGCAGTGGGTCTTGATGGTGACGTCGGACGTGGCGTACGTCACGCCTGGGCTGTTCTAGTTCTTCAACCTTGTAAGCTATTATCCTAGAGGTCATTCCCTTCCGGTATTCTCGTTACAGCCCCTATACACCGACAATACTTTCAGGAAAGACACAGGTCAAGCAGAAGCCCTCGCCGGTCTGGTCATCATCCAGGAAGGCCTGATCGCTCTGGTCAATCTCGCCCTCCAGGACCTTGCCAGCGCAGCTGGAGCAAGAGCCCGCGCGGCAGGAGTAGGGCAGCTCCAAGCCCTCCTCCTCAGCCTGATCCAGGATGTACACGTCCTCCGGGCACTCCTTGGATGCTCTTTGATTGCTCAAGCTCACAGACCCTTCGTCTCGAAAGACTTCCAGCTATGAGGTCAGAAAGGAACTTCAGAACAGAGCCAAGATTCGAAAGATTGCGTGCCATCGGGGGTCTCGAGAGTCACCTTGAAGTGGGCCGGCACACCGGGGCGAGCTGGCACCGTGTTGACGATGGCAGGCACGTTGCCGGAGGCCAGAGCACCGCCCGACAACGCCTGGCAACCCATGTGGACGCTCTGCTGAGGTGCGACAAAGGTCTGCTGGCTTGGTGCCCAGAAGCTGCGAAGCACAGCGACGCAGCATGCGACCGCCACGAGCACTGGCAAGGTGCGACTCTGGGAAGCCATTGCGACCAAACAAGCGACCACTGCTTCCAAGCGTTGTCGTGCAAAGACCCTCCGCGGCTTGAGCACACCATGCGGGTGCGGACGCAGGTTGCAGACGCGCAGGATCAGATCTCGTGCGTGCACTGCACCACAGGCTGATTCTACTTCACAACAAGCACCGATACTTCAAACTCCTTGGACTCTGGAAGCTTTAGGAAAACTCGATACCTGCAGAGCGACAAAACGCAAAACCGGCACAAAACCCTACCGGAACCTTTGCCCAAACACCTAAACAAAACCCTCCCAAACACCCTAAATTCCCTACACTCTGCAATTCGAACAGCCCCATGAATCGCCACGAAGCCCTGCTACAACCCCAAACCCCTTTATATATATATATATAAATAAATAAATAAAACCGATAACACCAGATAAATGAACTCAGGTAGAACCCTTGTAAAATACCCCATATCCCCACATCCTATCCCTATAGCTCCAAAGCCCTCAAGCTTACACTACGGGCGTCAATAACTAACATAAGGCCTCTGGGGTATGTTGTACTATGGTTAGAATAAAAAAACCCCAAAAAAGCAGCACTGCGCCCCTATACTTACCTTTGGTTAGTAGGGAGTGGAGGAATGGAGTACAATCATAACTACTATTACTACCAGTCTTCCTTTCCCTACTAACCAAAGGTAAGTATAGTACCTACAGGTCCCTGCACTTGGCCTGCACAGCTCCGGGCTCCTGTCCAGGAGAACTTTCCTGGCGCTAGTCATCTGTAGGTTTGCTACGGTGATTGCTGCCAACAGAAGGGCAATGAGTATCACTACTGATGCTATGACTAATATTGGTAGAATCGCAAATAGAAATGTAGAAGTAGTCGTAGTAGTAGTAGTAGTAGTAGTAGTAGTAGTAGTAGTAGTAGTAGTAGTAGTAGTAGTAGTAGTAGTAGTAGTAGTAGTGGTAGAAACAGCTGCAGAAGCAGCAGCAGCAGCAGTTTCCGCCGCCGTCGTTGCTTACAACTAGTGGTTCCTGCTACTATGCTAATGACAACAGTAATCATTATCACTGCTGATACTAATAATAATGTTATTCCTACTAATTTCTATTACTATTATTACAACGACTGCCGCCGCCACCACCACCAGACCACGACAACGACCAGGACCACTACCACCACCATCACCACCGCCACCACCACGGCAACGACCAGGACCACTACAACCAGCACCACCACCGCCACCACCGCCACCACCACGACCAGAACGACGACGACGACGACGACCACTAGTGCACCACTGCTACTACTACTTTCAATATTAGACCTATCATCATTCATACTTTGACTGCTGTTTTGACTATTCCCTGGTATTTGATTGTTATGACATATGTTCGACATGATTTTAGTCGTTAGTAAAAACTTGTAACATCTTTTCGTGGCATTGCAAATGCCATTGCTGTTATTGTTGCTACGGTGGATAGTATGAGTGTCAAGGCTTCTAGAGGCTTCCGGGTTCAGTGTGTTATTTGCGGCCGATCCACTAATTGTATGAAACTCCCTTGGCGAGGTCTCGATGACACCCGTGAAGTGCAACGACAAGCGAATTCCTCTGCCCTTTAATCTTGGATAAAGCAACAGCCTTTGATTAGAGTTTACGGTTCAGGGTTGAGGATTTAGGATTTAAGAATGTGTTCTAAACGTTAGCTCCAGATTCTGGAGAAGCATGAAACGTGAAACAAGGGTGTTGGAGTTCGCATACTGCACTTGTACGACAGCATTGTGGACTGTTCAGGCCCTATGTTACCATCAATCCAATGTTTTCGCCAAGAAACTGGCGAACCAGCCCACATTTGGCATGTCTACCCCTCAACCCTCAAACCTCATCCATCAAACAAACAAGCCACAATGCGAGCTTAGGCAGGTTCAGGTAGGTTGAGGAGGGCAAAAGCTACATTCAATAATGTCCAGAAGCCTCACGACTGCAGACTGCAGCCAGACCAGAGTACTTACCCTGAACCCTGAACTGTACAGCCAGAGCGAACATTGCAGGTGTATTTCCGTTAGCAGGCGAAGGGAGCCGTTCACATTAACGCTCCACTATATATGTGACGCTTCAAACCCTGTGGACAGTAAATTTAGGACCCCTTGCTTTACAGGCGAGAACACTGACATTAAGAGGTAATCGAACCCACTGGCAAGCCCTCGGAAGAAGCACGACAGGCTGACAACAGGAGAGGTCACGACGAATGGTTCTGCGAGCGAGGCTGGATAGCTCCAAAGGACGACACATTCAAAACGGGTTTCGTTATTTGTTTGCGTGGGGCTTTCCTGATCTGGATCCTATTATTGTCTGGTTTCGAAACGAAGTTTCTGCAACCGTGTTCTAACTAAAAGTATTCAGCATACCAAATGCTGCTTAAGGAATAGTCGCTGCATTTGTCTTGCTTGTAGCACGGGTTCAACCTTCTTCCAGGAATGTTCCTTAGATATTCTTCTCAAGTTCAATAAGGCACACGATAGAAGTTTCAAAACAATACAGAAGCTAGCACAAATGTATCAATACCACCTCTTGGTCCCTACTGCAGTTAGAGACTACGACATGACCCCTCTGGATTTGCAGCTGCGATAGTAGCGAGAATCCTGCTATATATGTACTGCGTCATGGAACGGAGGCTATACTATGCGAGCCTCTTGATTGAAGCTTGCGTTGGAGCTGCGTATATACTGTGCAGCATTCCAACCATTGACAACAGCTCTAATCCCGCAAACTGCAAGGGCAATCGAGGCAATCATGTCACTAAATCCTGAACCTGAGCGGAAAGACCCTAAGTCGAAGGCCTTAAAACCCCAAACCGTAGACCCTACGTCACAAAACCCTGAAGCTGTAAGCATCAGCCACCCTGTTGAAGTCTAACCCCTGGAACATGAAGCAAACGTTCTAGACAGCAGAAATTGCTGCATCCCCAGCCCTCAGCCCGGGGTTCAGGGTTTTATAAAGTTTAATTTTGCTTTAGGAGTAAACCGACCTTTTCGTCAAGACCTACACCCTCATTCTGAGCCTTAACCCTGAATCGACCTTCTGTCAAATCATCCTCAAGCCAGCCCTAAAACCACTCCTACACCTGAAAGCCCTAAGCCCTGAGCCTTCCAAACCCCTGAAGCCCGAAACCCTGAACCATAAACCCCAAAAACCCTGCAACGCCTGAAACCTCAACTCCAGAATAATAAGTTCGCTCGATTTATAGGTCCTGGCACACTACACCCCCAAACGCCAGAAGATTCAATACATCAAGCAATATTTAATACAATATAGTAGGAGATGCCATAGCATACTAGAACATAATATTTGTTCCAGAAAGGTGATAACGGCGTAGATCCAAGTGCCACACAAATTACGGTCCCCACTATAGCCAAACATGCCTTAGAACCTAAATCCGTAAATCCAAAGTCGTCAACCATGTGCTGCAAACCTGACACGGCCCAAGATCAAAACCACTGCGCCGCTGACTAGCCCCTGAATCATCGAAAAGCCCTCCACCCCGAACCTAAGCCTTATCTCTACTCCACCTGGTGGCTCCCGCGCAGCATCCGGCAATGGACCCATGATGGCCTCAAGGAAGCAAAGTTCGGAAGTTTCGAGGCTTTCCGGCAGCCAGAAGGATCTCGGGTGTTCGGGGTGCTTCGGGTTTTCGAAAGTTGGGGGATCACGGCAGCCCCGCGACACGCAGTGTGTGGAGGAGACCCAGAGCGAACAAGTCACCGAGGGCTTAACTTGAACTTCCGCCATCGCCTTACACTCAACCTGAGAATCCTCACCTGACGCTCGAACACCCTGAAACCCTGAGCCCTCAAAAACACCAAGCCGTAAACACGAACAACCCTAGCAAACCCTGCAGCCCAAACCCATCTACCCTAAACCTTTGACGCGGATTATACATTGAGTTTAGGGTTTAGGGTTTTTCGGGGTTCCCGCACCCTAAACCCGAGAGTGCCAGTCTGAAAGTAAGGTGTCGAGTGGGGGCCTTGTTTTGGGTTGCGCATGTACTTTTAGAGTCTACCGTAACACTAAACCCGAGAGTGCAAGTCTGAAAGTAACGTGTCCGCGTGCGGAGCCTGATTTTGCGTCGCGGGTGTACTTCGGAGTCTACTGTAACGCGCAGGTGCCAGGAGACAAACCAGACCTGAGACAAACCAGAACCTTTCAAAGAAGGTCATGCTGGGGCACTCTTCCTCAGAATAGGGTTTTGGGGGATAAAATAGTCAAGATTGCTTAAGGAACCTTCACTCAAATTGGCAGTTGCTCCGGTCCTGATCCGATCAGTCTCGTCTTTAGTACGAGACTCTCGAAAAAGGACAACTTCGTCTCAGGCCTCTACGCCCGGGCTCTGGGTTTAGGATCCGAAGGCTTCTGAAACCCTCCACTTGAAACTCTCATAGCCTTAGGGCTCAGGGCCCTATGAACCCTAAACTCAGAAGACAAAATCCGCAACCCTGGCTCTAAACCCTGAAGCCCAACGCCCTAAACCCTAAAACCTGAAGCCCTCAAAACCCGGCAGGTTTACGCCCAAACCCGCCTCTTCCTCGTCATCCCCAGGACCCATTGACGTGGGAGATGGCCTGCACTTTAGGGTCTAGGCTTTATAGGGTTCTTCAGGCGAGAAGGATGCCTTCTTCAAGGCTTCATGCTTTGTTTTGGGGTCTGAAGTTCAGCATTCGGGGTTTCGGGTTTCAGGTTTCATTACAGGAATGTTCACTTTCGCCACGAAAGTAGGGGCTTAGGGTTTAACGGGTTAAGACTCACGGTTTCGTGCAACATCATCGTTGACCTTAGCCCGAAGGCCCGTCTGCGAGCTGCTAGCTCTCCCGTGCCGTGGTCTAAGGGCCTTAAACTTAGACGAGGACCCAGGAACCCTTTTTCCTACCATGAAGTCTTCATAGTGAGATCTCAAAATCGCAAGGACATAACGGCTAATGGACAGCCAGGGATCGGGCTTTTTTGTCCCGTTAACGGTTGCAAGGTTTTGGATTTTGGGTTTAGGGTTCAGAGGCACAGGGTTTTAGGTGCAGAGCTTGGTTTCTGGGTTTCGGGTTTCACATGACTTCACAGTCACAGTTACATGTGCTGCGGTCACTCACACAGCTTGGTTTTCAGGTTGTGTGCTTCCGGGTTGTCGGGCAGCACAGCAACGAGGGAGGTTCTTTACATTCAGCTGTCCATACTGCACTCTGTGTAGTGCCCTACCCTACGCAGTGGGCCCTTGTGTAGGCTCTACGTATGTAGGCTTCGGTGCTCCGAACATCTCCGTGAACGTCATGGATGACTTCGTTGATCTAAATACCTATCCGACATAGTGGGCATTTGGGTACAGCTCTAGAGCCGGAGGCCCGACGCCCCAAGTAGGGTTCGGCGGTTGAGGGCTTAAGGCTTTTGGCCTACATGTCGGTTATATGTGAGGAATCGGCGTCGAAAAAAACTCGAAGATGACATCAGGATCCTGAGCACATGTTTCAAATGATGGCTGATCATCCAGCCAATTTTCAGCGGGAACGCTCTCTTTGAGATGCCCGCCTGCCTTCAAGATGACATAAGCTTGACTCGTGGGAAGGAGGAAAGCTGGCTGCTCCAGAAAGGCACCAGAGCTGGGGAGAAAGCTGAAGCCTAATTCACAGGCCTTCATAATGAGAATGGGGTATTGGTGAAACTATAATCAAATACGTTTCTAGTGAGTACATGGGACTAAACCAGCCCCCCTCAGCCTTAGCTCCCATCAGATTGACGGCAAACGGCTTAGGGCCAAGAATTTAAGCGGCTTCTGCTTTAGGGCCCCTAACTCTAAACCCCTGACCCTTTAAATCGAAATCCTACAGCTCAAAAACAGCAAAGCTACTTACCGGAATGATGCATGGCCTTAACCCTGAATGCTGGCTCCCTAGCTTGGGGCATATGGCTGTTGTTTGAACTGCTTTTCTCCCATGTTGACAAAAGAGGGGTCAGGGTTAAGTTTTATTTGGGGTTTAAGGATTCAGGGCTGACGATTTAGGGCCAGTTCCGTGTTCAGGGTTTAGGGGCTAAGGATTTTGCGTTTATGTTTAGGGGCTACCTAGAACAGAACTATGACTGTACTTGTGAGTGCGATCGCTATGTTGCAAAAAAACCTAACACAAGTTGCAGAAGTTGCATAGGATACAGCTGGTATTGAACAGACATGATTTGGTCATATAGGCACTCACAGTTACCCGACATACCTTCAACCTCCTTGTACCAGCATATGTCAGCATCTGCCTCTTCTGCCTAACATCTGGAGCGGCAGCATTGTCCCCCTTCCCAAAGAAGCTCTCTGTTCTCAGTATAGCACACAGAGGCACCCGCATTGAAAAGACCACGCGGGGGAGGGGGCGAGATTCAGGCGTTCATGAAATCTTTGCGCACAGCCCACTGCTGGCCTATCCCGATTAACCTCATGTCATGAGGATGTCCGTTTGCGTGATAGATATAAGGAAAAACGAGAGGCCGTGCGTTAACGGTATAATACCAAATAGAACGTCTAGTCATGCGGACCCCTGCATTACTTCATTTCAAGCAACAGTGCCCACAGGAGAGTCGGCAACCTTTCAACCTTTTGTCTTTTAGGGATAAACAGCAGCCACCCTTATCGAATTAAGATCTTATGTTTGGCCCGGTTGTCCCTTTGTGGCCTGCTTAAAAACACTGATTCAGTTCTAAGGTCCGTATAGAACCCTATAATCGGGCCATTATGGGGGCCCTAGGGATAGAACCTCTAAATTATTTCAAAACCCCGATAGAATCGAAGGGATGTATGTATCGTGTGGGAGCAGCATGGGGCCTTGAAGAGAAACATTTCTCAGCCATTTGCATCCAAAGCCATGAGTTCCCTTCTCAGATCCTTCGGATGCCTTGGGGGGAAGGCCAGACCGGGCAAGATCTGGGAGTTTCCGAAAATAGGGGACCCCAATATAGTACCCTAAATGGTAGGATCCTTATTAAACGGGCCCAAAGTAAGGTACCCCTAGTTTTCTGACATTCCCATCTGCTGGCAAGCCATAGTGGTAGTAATGGCCAGAGGGTGTAGGACGAAGCATGGTACACAAACTGACAAAGCTGCTGTTCCAATCACAACACTATCATTCGTTGTCTTACCCATATTTGCATATTTCTGGAATGACTCGCAGCCACGGTGTCCGCTCACGGCGGAAACTGGCTCGCGAACTTCTCGAAGTCCTGGCGACTGGCAGGCGGCCTTGTCTAAAAATGAACACGACATGCAAAATGCTACACCCGCACCGAAGCCCTAAGTCTATGGTCTAAGGTAAACATCGCTACCGAACTGTAAGCACATCGCTACCGAACTGTAAGCTCATCCTAAGCACCGAAACCCTACATGCTCAACCCTGCTTCCGAGAATCCCAGGCTCTGAAGCTACAATTCAACCAACCTTCAATCCCGACCGTTCACTCCGAACCCTAAACCGCTAATTTTACTAATCTCCTAAGCTCAACAACTCTCCAAACGCTGAACCTTCAAGTTCACATGAAGTTTAGGGTCTGGGGTTTTGCTTTCTTCAAAGGCTTGAGGTCTAGGATTTGCTGCTAGTTTCCGAAAAGGCATCCAACATTAGAAGGAGCCGTATGCACACGCGGCCAAACCCTGCTAACTGGCATCTGAGATTGTCAGTCTGACAACCCTAAACCCTCCACCTTAAAGCATAAATCATAAACCGAAACAAATCCTGAACTCCTTGAAGAAAGAGCCTATGTTTAAACCATGAAAAACCCTACGACAGCATATCCTACCTCTCAACCCATAAGACTAAGTCCAAGTCCTGCATCACTTCTGGAGGGAGTTGGGCTGCCAGGTTTTGCATCAACTCAGGTGGGATCCTTCATCTGTAGCTGGTTTAGGGTTTAGGTTATTTAGGGTTTAGGGGTTAAGGGTTCAGGGCTGTAAGGGCTCAGAGGGTTGAGGGGTTAGGAGTTAGAAGGGGGGTTCAGGGCTCACTTTACCAGGGAGTTTTGGATGAGGGTGTTACTAGTAATGTCTACAAGAGGCCAAAAAATGTATCTTGGGGGGGGGGGATGCGCAGAGTTTGAAAAGTTGTCTGGAATTGTTTTCAGGTTTTATATGGTTTTGAAGCCAGTTTTTTGATGGGTTGAGTCGACATTTTTACGGCTCATTCTCGGTGCGTCTAAAGCCTTTCTGGCCCCGTCCATTTCCTGTAACTCCTATGTGAAGCTCAAACGAACTTCAAAGACAAACAGAACGCAGGCCACCCCGGTGCATTCGGGCCTGACAGCGAAAAACCTGCTTCATTCTTCGTATAGTTTGACAGGTTTGTAGGGTTCCATACGGTGTTCTACATACGTTTTTTTTTTTATGGTTTTGTAAGGGCGTTGGGCAAATCTTATACTTGTACCTAGATTTAGCAGTGACCCCCTCAAACATGAGGTCACCCTTTCTCCTACTATTGAGTCTGAATAATGAGACCCCCACACAAAAAGGGAACAAGTCTACTACCGGGCCACCTCATTCGGGAGCTTGGCTTTTGTGTCCCGGGCTTTTGATGTTGTGGGCATTAGTTAAAACCTTTCTGTGGTTTAATAAGGCTTAGCGTTAGGCCCTAAGTTTAGGGTTCAAAACACAGTAATTTGGTTTTACGAGTTCAACACACCTGAGCACAACAACAGACTGAATGAAAGCAAGGCTCCTTAACCCCGAAGCCGCAAAGCCTGCAACCCCATTCCTCCTCAAAGAAACGAAACTCTGAACTTTGGGCCCAAAACCCCGAGGCCGTCAAGACGTGCAAAACGCTTCTGAAACAACAAAAGCTTCAAGACTGGAATTGAACATCTTCAGTACTGTGCTAAAACCCTATACATGCCTTAAAAAACTTAAACCCTAAATGCCCTAAAACCCCTAAAACCCTTAAACCCTAAAACCCCTAAACCCACATCGATCCCCTAAAGGACATAGCAGGGCACCGGATCGCGCCGGCTTGCATCATCATCTGCATTGGTCCACTCGACATGAACTTCGCCTCCTCCCGGGCTTTAGGGTACAGTGTTTTTTGCTTTTAATGTGTAGTGTACTAGGGTTTAGGGCTTAGGGTTTAGTGTTTAGGGGTTTAGGTTTTACGGTTTAGGGGTTGAGGGTCTAGGGTTTAGGGAGGAGACTTAGCAAGGAGAGTATTTGGGCAGTCCCAAATAGTTGGATTAGGGCTTGCGGGGGTGGCGTACTTCACAAACCCCGAATTAGATTCCTAAGCCCGAAACCCTTCAAGATCAAGATTGCAAAGCCCTAAAAGGCACATGCAACAGCTGCACCATATGTAAGTACACACTCAAAACCGACCAAAACACTCTTGCTAGCAACTCGAAACTCCACCCCAAAAGTCCTTGTTTTAGCCTAAGACAAACACCAAAAACCATAAATGTAAACCCTGAACCGCCCAAAATGTAATAAACCCCCGAAGTTTGGTTTTGCGTTGCCTTCAACTTGTTGCGGGACATGACAATCGGCTCACCGCCGCCGCGCACTTCGCCACAGCTGGAGACCGGACCCTTCCGGTCGTTGCTGTTGGGGATACCTCGAGGCTTCTTTT